TGCAATTTTTATTTTTTTTTTGGTTTTTTTTTTTGTTTTCTCATTTACACTCAGGTTCTTAGACTTTATTTGATAGGACTTTGTCTGGCATAACTTGAGTATGTCTAAGAAAATACCTAGCCGGAATTGTAAATCACTGATGGATCATGTGGTTGCTTGTTTCATCTTCTCCAGAAAGCATATGCTGGCCAGCAGCTCTTGTATGGGAAGCTCTATTGATTATCCAATGATGCATTCAAGCCTTTCAAGTCCTGGTAGAGGATATGCTAGTCTCGAAGCTTCAGGGCTAATGGCTCGTCATCCCAAATTGAATATGGATACATTGGGTTCACATCATCTAAGTTTTGGATTCCCATTAAGCCTGAACAACAGTAGTTTGCCCGTTAGATTTCCATCCTTGGATCAAAGTGAGTTATTTCTGCAAAATCTCAGGCATTTCATATCTGAAAGGCATGGAGTATTGGAAGATGGTTGGCGTGTCGAATTTAAACAGCCTTTAAATAGTTATCAGCTATGTGCAGTGTATTGTGCTCCTAACGGAAAAACATCTAGTTCAATACAATACAAGATGTTGCTTGTTATCTGGGCTTAGCAGTTGATGGTAACTACAGCTGTATGGATGCTGAAATCAGGAATGAAAGTTCTTTTCTTCAAGAAAGATTGCATATTTCCAAGAGGAGAAAGACATCAAGATGGCCAAACAATGGTTTTCCTGAGCAAAAGGGTAGTTCAGTGAGTGCTCAGCTCAGGCGTTTTGCATTCGATGGTCAGACGATGTCCTCTTTTGCCATTAAATCTGGTACTCGTTTTCAGCCTGGTGATTCTCTTAGCTCTGGAAATAATGGACGCGGCTGTGAGGAAGCCAATATAAGTGTAAGCTTGTAATCTCTCCTGATTAATTTCTTTTTTTCCAATATTTTTTCGTACTTTTTATCCTCATGATTGTGTATTTGATTTTCAGAATGGACTTCCAATGCAGTTTGAAGATTTCTTTGTTCTGTCACTTGGACGAATTGACATTAGACGTCTTACCATAATGTCAACATGATTTATCCAATAGGATATAATCCTGCTGGCATGATAAGATAACGGGATCACTATTTACATGTGAAGTATCTGATAGCAGTTCTGGTCCTGTTTTCAAGATTACACGGTCACCATGCTCTAAGTCATTTATTCCAGTTGAATCAACTGTCTTCTCCTGCCCAAAGATTGATGAAATGCTGGAACAGAACATTGACAAGCGAAGTGATCGTAGGGATAGTACCCAGATGATGATGAATATTGAGATTCTTCTTTCGGATCACTGCGCACCTCTTGGAGATGATATACTGTCTTGTTTACGAGAGAATAATTTCTCCAACACATTCAGTTGCCTGCGCTCAGAGGTTGTTACTTCTCAAGAAGACGTTGATAATATATTATCCTATAATCAGGATCATGGGGTTGACATTGGCGACATTGTTGTGGAAGAAGATTCATTGTCTGTTGCATGGAAAAAGATGTCTCAAAAACTTGTTGATGCATGTTCCAATGTCCTGAAGCAGAAGGGTACCATGGAATTCCCTTGCAAGCACGTTGACGGAGAAACAAGGGGAATCAACTGGGATGCGATGAATGAGAAAGACCATGTAATTTTATCGTTGTCAAGATTTTGCTGTTCTTTGGCTCCTCACAGTGTGATATGTGGTGAAAAGGATAAAAGCCAGATTGCAAATGTAGTTGATGCTTTGTCAAGGTGGCTGGATCAACAGATTTGGACTTGACGCAGATTTTGTACAGGAAATGATTGAACATATGCCTGGTACCGAATCTTGTACAAATTATAGAAATCTGAAAAGTAGAATTTCCTCTTCTGTTCCTGTAACTGTAGCGGAAGGAGAACTAGTTGTCAAACCAAATGGTTGGGAAAATGTCAAGGAAGAAGGTCCCGGTGAGATTTCTCAGAAAGCCAAGAAGCCTAAACTAAATGGTGGTCATGGTGTCAGAAATCCACACCCTCCTCCTGGGAGGTCAATGTGTTTGAGGCTTCCTCCTGTACTTGTTGGTGACTCTCTTCAGGTACAGACATGTGTTTTCCTTATGGTAATCTACAACCTACCCTAGTCCTGCCACACATATATGATAGTCATTTTTTATGCATTAATTAGGTATCTGAAGTGTTCTGGCGTTTCCATGAAATTTTGGGTTTTGAAGAGGCCTTCTCACCGGAGAAGCTTGAACAGGAGCTTATCTATCCAGTTTTTGATGGTTTGTTTCTTGAAAAACCTGGGAAAGATGATAACAGAAGTGAGATGAACTTTACTGATAAGGATTGTACAGCTACTAAATTGTTTTCTTTGTTCGATAATTCTCGCCAACCTTTTACTGAAAAAAATACCTCTGCTTCTGTATGAAAGGAGATAAAAGTAGGGGACTCTTCTGATTTTAAGATTGCATATTCATCTCGTGGGTCGTGTGTGGGTAAACTTCTAACAAGGACTCACATTTCACTTCTGCAAGTGCTAATATGTGAGTTGCAATCCAAGGTAGCTGCATTTGTTGATCCAAACTTTGATTCTGGAGAATCGAGATCCAGACGAGGACGGAAAAAGGATGACAGTTTCTGCTAAAAGAAATAAGCTGCATATGCTTCCGGTTAATGAGTTCACTTGGCCTGAATTGGCCCATAGGTACGTCTTGTCTCTTTTATCAATGGATGGGTTTCTCGAATCAGCATTTACCTTCCAAGAAATTAGTCAGGCTGAACTTTCTCAAGCATATTTGAAGCTATGTACCATTCGTAGGTCACTCTAGAGTAAATAAGCTTCGTTTCCTTTCTGGGATATTTTATAGTGTATTTTGACATTTAGATACTGTTCATCGTTGGACCCAAAAAAAAGGATACTGTTCATCTTAAACATCCTAATAGTCTTCTTTATTATACAGCCTGGAAAAGTGGGTAACTTTGTGTTTCAAATGAATTCATCAAGTACCCTCACAGAAAGAGAATGAATGTTGGATTTACTAGTAGATACTAACTTTTTATCTTCAGTTACTTGCAGAGGCTATTATGAAAATATCTGGATCTTTGACAAGTGAAAATGATGTTCTTTCTGTGGAAGATGATGATTCCGATGGCCTTGATGCTACTGAGACAAACACGTGCAATGGTGATATTCCAGCGTGGGCACAGGTTCTGGAACCTGTGAAAAAGCTGCCAACAAATGTTGGGACGAGAATCAGAAAGTGTGTTTACGAAGCTATAGAGAGATATCCACCAGAGTGGGCAAAGAAGATATTGGAGCATTCGATTAGTAAAGAAATATAGAAAGGCAATGCTTCAGGACCAACAAAGGTTCAAAATCTCTGAAACCAATTATAGTCCTCCTGAAGTACTTGCAAACTGAAATTGCATAACTAAGTATTTCTTATCTTCTCAAGTTCGCATCAGTTTTCTGCCTCTTGTTCTTGCGATGATGTAATCTTAGTTTCAGTCTGATTATACGTGATACTTTCTTAGACTCACTTTAATTCTGAAATTAATTGTTTCCCTCTTACTGGATACAGAAAGCTGTCCTCTCATTGCTAGCGGATGTTCGAGGTGGAGATTTGGTGCAGAGGTCTGTTAAAGGAACCAAAAATTATATCTTGTTTTCTCAAGTTCGCATCAGTTTTCTGCCTCTTGATGCTACTTGTGGGTAAGTAGAAAAATTATTATTTTGCTTAAAATGTTTATGGTCGTCAATATGCGATCTCTAATGTTTTGCTTGGCAATTATAAGGTTGGTGGTGCCATTTGCAAGTTCAACGAGTTGCTTGTAGAACTTAAAGTTTCCACTTCATCCGCATCATATCAGAAATTTATAAAATATAGTTGCGACTCACGAGAGGTTAATTTCGATTCTAGCTAGATGTTCTCGATAAAGCGCTCTCTTCAACACAATTCCTCCTATTTACAACAGTAAGCACCTTTGTATTTAAAAATCCTGATTCTTAACTGACAACTAATTCTATGTGTTTGTCTCTGTTCTTGATTGGTTTTTGTTGAAAAGTTTGAAAATATTGAGCCATACAACTAACCAATATGAGATTTTTGTCTGGTAGAATAAAAAGCTGAATAAAATACCGGAAACTAACTAGTCACGCAATTTCCGTTTTTGTAATCCCTCGATTCGAATGTACAGATATCGTGAATGGGAAGACTGGGACGAGAACGTTCATAAAGAAAGGAGTGTATGTAGCTGATATAGGGACGAAAGGAAGAATGTATAGAGTCAAAAAGAATGCTTTTGATCTGTTAGCAATGGAGGACTTGATCGGACCAGATACTTTAAACTATGTCAAAAAAGTACTTGAGGCTTAAATCCACCTTTTTGTTCTACGATTTTGACAGTCTCATCTCTGCTGCTGCCTCTGAAGACAGATTTAGCCAACAGATTGTTTGACAATTTCGAAAATGTAACAGTATTCATGCCAGTCTTAATTTTGCATCGTTATGAGATGATTTTTTTTCTTTCTTTTCTTCTCTGACATATCATATATGTTTATTGGTTGTTGTCATGGTGACACAGCTTGAAGATTCAGCAAAGACGAAAATCTTAGCAGAGACAGAATCGTGTTATAAAGATACACAGTTTCTTCTTCAAGAGGTAAATGACCAGAATGGCATGATCCTGCTTCAGTTTTCACCAGTTTAGTTGCTATTGAAGATTATTCACGGTTGATAGCTCCGTGGTCATAAATTGTAATCGTTGCATAAGATAGGTGAAAAATATTGAAATCTAGTAAACGACAGTGCAATATATAAGACCAACATATGATTCAAGTCTATAACGTATTGGATTTTGATTTTTCTCTTAAAACTAACGGTTGAGATACTGTATCACCACCTCCACATGTACACCCACTAATAAATATTATGCAAGAGAAGGTCTTCTTACGGGTTTCATGACACAAGATTCAGTAACGACAGTGATCATATATAGGCAGAAACAAAACAAACGCTCAAAGTCCAAAATGAAAAGAAAAAAAAACTTCAATAGAAAGGAATATTTACCCATTATAAACTCATGAAATCCGTACATCAATGTAAAAGTTCAAGAGAGACCAGTAAAAACCGGAGTGGTTAGTACAAAATCAGAGATAAAAGCAGTGATATACAACTATACGAAGAACAAGAGGCCATGGCCATGGGGTCCGCGTTCTCGTTGTTCATGTTCAAAACGGTCAGCAACCAAGCAGTAGGATTTGACGAGAGATGTGGAAAAGATGAACATAGAGAGGCTAAGGAGAAGGTTCATCCATGACTCCTGTGCTAGCCAACCAAGAAGACAAGAAAACACTACTAGAAATAGTATGAATACGTTTTGGCAGGGATCAAAATCCTCGGCAGGAGAATGAAGCTGAACAATTGCAATGACTCCTATTGTAGTCATAGTCACAAGTGATGACATTTCAATTATCACCTCAGCGTCCTGGACGCCGTAGGATATGCAATAAATGACAACCATTGTAGCTAGGTAGATCCCAGACCGCCGCTCAGCTCCTAGCCGATAACTCGGGACTGGAACATCCTTGCGCAAGCAAATGAATAGCAAACCAATGTATGGAATGGTTGCAGCAGACAAGAAGACATACCTATAAGCATGTTACACACACACACACACACTATGATTAGTAAATAGAAAACAAACATTAAACTCAATTAATGAGACTAAATAGATAAACACGAAAGATTCCTTACAGTAACTTGTGCAAGGTGCCAGCGTCGGTGCAGAGGTTGAACCATATAACTAAGATAGATCCAACGAGATTGTGGAAGACAAATACGGTAGCTAGTGCGTAAAAGGTGATCCGACACTCACTACTGGTCACTCCTGACATATCAATATTCTTCCGGTTTTCCTTGACATCAATTTGCTGAGTGTCATTGCCTGAAGGGAAATCGACGACGACTTCTACCATAACTCCTCCGTCCAGTTCCATATCGCTAACTCCCTGCGCCAAAAAAGAAAACAGAGATCCACATCAAATAATTAACTCCACTCGAATTAATTAGTCTCCAAGGAAGAAAATACTCAAGTGTTCCGAAAACAACTTCACCTTCTCGACGTTTTCGACTAGCGGCGACCAAGTGTTGTGCGTCTGCGGATCCATTGGACTCTCCACGATTTCTACAAATTAAGGAAGACGAGAGTAAAACAAGAAAACTAGAACTGATTAAAATAACGTCAAGTCCACACTCAAACACATACAATTAATATGGAAACTGGAACTAGTGGGGTACCTAAATAATGGAATACGGCGACGTGATACAGTGACGGTAGCGAGATGATGAGAGAACACGGAAAAATCAGGAACAGCGGTGGAACGTGGTGAATTCGACGACGATTAGCGACGGAGAGAGGACTATATATATGGAGAGGCGGCGGCACTCAGCAAACACTTGATCGGTGCAAGAAAAAGGGCAAGAGGCGAAGAAGAGCAGAGGAACTTTGTGACCTAAGGACGGCACGGATTCTTCTTCGACGATCTTGTTGATATCAGATACCCCTTTTCTTTTTCTTTTTCTTTCGCCAATTGATTTCCCTTTCATATTATATATATATCTTTGTGTTTTCTCTTTTGATAATGAATTAAATATCTTTTATTCCTTGGCGGTGTGTATCATCCAATGGGCTTTTTATGGGCTTTCACTAATGTTGTCAACCCAGTTTTGACTTTGTTCCGGTTTCTGCTTACCCACTGACAATCTAATATCTTCAAACTTTGCGGCCCATGTCTTTATTTTTCTGATCCAGGAGTGAATGGCAGAGTTGAGGGATATGCCATAGATTAGATTTTTAACCTCTTGAGTCTTGACAATCTTGTTATGAATGAATAGAAAGGTAACACGACAAACACCGGTCTTGATCCAGTATTACTAAGTCCCGGTTTATTCAAACCGATGAGAGTAGGCGTGCGGCTTCGATCTAATTGTAACTCGGTTGTTTGATTAGTTCATGATCTGAAAATGTTACCGAAAATAACCAAAATCACTAACGGTTTGGTTCGGTTATTTGTTCTGCTCCCGAAAACAATTGAACATTTCATAATTTTTGTTTAAATTCTGATGATCTCGGTTTACTCGGGTAATAAAGTGTAAAGATAGATTCAAATCACGGTTTATATTAATCAGATCAATATTTTGGTTAATTCAATTTACCATTTAGCTATCCGCAGCTGAGCATAACCCAATGACTAACCAAGCCTGATTTATAGTCTGATCAGTTTACCTGCTAATCTGCTATAACCAAAACAACTGTAGCTTTTTAAAATAAAAATTTACTATAGTATTTTTGCAAGGTTTCTTAGCCAAAAATTTATTACTATTTATTGTTGTCTGTTAATTACTTAATTTAGTTAACTTCCGAAGGCTTTGACTTTGACAAGTTAAACAATTTATATAAACTAAAAGTTTTTCTTTGTGGGGGTGACCCGAGAAAAGGACAAAGCAAGAAGAAAAGAAGCTTTGTAACGTTTTCTATCAAAATATTCAACAAAAACCTGGTCTCAGGTCTCGTCTCGACCGTGTGAAACGTGTCTACATATTCTTTCTCAGCTTTTCGTCTGGAATTATCCAAAACTACTTTACAGAAATGATTTGGGTATTTTTTAAAATAAGAAACTTTGGTCGACTCATTATTTATATTATTTTAAAGTACTTTATAACAATTTCGGAATATATTCTGGGGACGTAACCAATTAATTCCACGCGGTCTTTGAAAAAACCGACCTTATTTATCTATATATATTTGTAACAAATGCGTATCAATGTAAAAGATATATTCCAAAGAGTAAAGTCATCCATAATTCTTGATCTATATACAAGTGCACAGCCATACACCAAACATCTTTTACCTTAGAGATCAAACTTCTTTACACACTAATCGTTTCAAGATGAGCCAGTACGATCACAACCAATCTGCAGGTAAGAGGAAGAAAGATAGATTCCTCTGTTTTTGTTTGTGTCTTTAATTATTCTCCTTGTCTTAAAAGAATACTTCTTTCTAAACTCTGTTCGTGTATAATGTTATCGAACGTAGGAGCTAACCCATCGCCACCGGTTTCGACTGCACCACCACCGATGGGTTACCCCACCAACGACCCGAGTCATAACTCGGCGGCTCCGGCTAAAGTGGAAACCAAGTCTAAGGGTGACGGATTCTTTAAAGGCTGGTACGTCTTTATCATGATACTTAATTATATGCAACTTAATGCTTCAACATGATTATCCATAAAATGGGCCGATATATTAAAGCCTAAATAGCTTATTGTTATTATTTTTGTTCTTTCTAATATTTGGAATCTTTGTTTGTAGTCTTGCGGCCATGTGTTGCTGTTGTGCCCTGGACATCTGCTTCTGAGCTATTTGGCATGGATCTGAATGTGAGCTATTACGACGAGTTGTGTGAATGTGAATGTGAATTATTCCCTCCAGCCTCATTGTATAAATTCGCTATTACTTGTTTATTATTTTCTTGTACTACTTTGTGATTCGAACATATATTATGGTTTGTATTTGGATCTCTATAGTATTTAACTTTTAGATTTGTATAATCATATTACCTCTAATTTCACAGAAGTCGTTTCTTTTATAATTTGTGCAACTACAACGACGACAGATGAATTAATTGTTACATATGAAAATTAAAAAAGAAAAAATCCAAATTTGTTGGTAGAGAAAATAAAGGAAGAACACATAATCTTTGATTTCCTTCCAAGTAACAAACCCTACCCACCACCACCTCTCCGTCGCTTTCTCGTCTCCTGTCGCAGCAATCGGTTATTGGGATTTGGTTTGCTCGGAACCGGCATGGTTAAGGTCGACAGGTTTAACCCTAACTTCGAACATCAAACTGAAAACTCCTGTGAACCTTTTGTCAAGCGGTTGTGTCATATTACAAACGTACAAAATCAAGTCATAGAGCAAGAACTGAGCCTCGGATGCATCTATCCCAGCTTCATCGACAAGTAATTCGTAGAGTTCTACTTTCTCCTGACAATCTTCGTCTTCCCAGATGAATTCATCGACCAAGGACGAGAAGAACATCTCTAACGGAGGAGAAGAAGATCCTTGTCGGAGAACCTTGACCTCCACATCGACAATGAAATCTTCTGCTTCTGGTTGGTATTTGATATAATGGTCGAGTTTCGTCACTTCAAAGGGGGCAGTGTTGTTTTGATCCGCCATGGTTTGTTTAAGAATGAAATTGAGATTTGTCTACTGTCTCTATATTTATATATGACCAAAAGTTTAGTCCTAATCCAAATAGGTTTCTCTTTTTCCTTTTTTCGACTTTTCCTAATCCAAATTATGTAACTTCAGAACTTTTCCTTTTCTTTTAAGTTTTCCTTTTTTCTTTAAAACCTAAAGTACGGAGTACCTGCAAATTTCCTTTTTTTTTTTAAAATCCAATTCAATTTCGAGAGTGTTAGAAACTTAGAATTAATCAGATTCTTGCAACATTTGTGCCTTGCTTGGCAAATAAGACTTAAAAGGATGGTAACAAATAAATTAAAAATCCCTAATTCCAGAAAGAATCAAGAATCAAACAAAAGCTTCCCATGTTCTACTAAACAATCACACCATGAAGAATTCAATACTTTTTCCCAAGAATGATACCTAGAATGACAGACACAAGAGCCACTCCAAGAACGATCTTTAATGTCATGGCATGAGATGTTTCAGCTTTCTGAATCATAACGTGTCCTGAAGAAGAGGAATGCGAAGGAGAAGCATCTAAGTTCTTCCTGCTCTTACGTTGCTTTGGAGTTGAGACAGGTAAGTCAATGTCTCGAGATTTCACTTCTACTTCCTCTTTTCCCGTAGACTCAGTTTCCTGCAAATTTGGTTTCTACATAAACAGAGCATTTTTTTCGACATTTGTATAGTAGGAAAGAGGTTGTGTTTAACGAAAATGTGATATGTATATATGTCTGACCTTAGATCTAGCATCTGCAAGCTTCACTTTCAATTCAAGCTCTTTGACCATGGTTTCGAGATGAACAATCATAGATTTTCTAGAATCAAGCTCCTCTTGTGATTTCTTTAAAGTAGCTTCCAACTCTGTATGCTTCTGAGAAACCGCTTCTTTCTGACTCCATTCACAAAATAAAAATAAGAACTCAAGAATATACCTAACACAATTAGATTTTCCTTACTAGCATCAGACTCAAGAGCTTGAAAATTCGAAACGGTTTTCTGAAGTTAGAAGAAGCAAAAGAAAGATTCATTAACCTGTTCAGAAATGAGAGTGTGAGAAGCTTGAAGCTCTTTATGTAGCACATCTCGGTCACTCGCCTTATGTTCATGTTCCTGCAATTTTGAGGTCAGTTCTGCAACTTTTTCGACCTGACATAAACAAAAACCAAGAAACATCATCATCATCAATCAGTGAGCAAGTATTCAATATATTGTCGCATAAGTGTACCTCATTATTACCTCTTTTTTCAACTGAGCTTCGACTTCTTTCAATTGTATTTCTACTTGTTCATAGTTTGACTCCAACACCGCCTTTTCAGCAGCCACGGCACTAAGCTTCCCGATTTCGGATATCATAGCATCGGATTTAGACTTGTCTTCTTGGAGCTTTTCTTGAAGCTTTACGAGCTCATTCTTTGTTCTTTGATATATCTCATTGACTTGGTTATTCTCTTCTTCAAGGGAAGAGATCTACAACAGATCAGAGTGTCATTTTTTTTTCATATGATCAGATGGTTTACTGATACTTAAGTTTTTATATTTTCAGAATGTAACTCTACCTGTGATCGTAAACTTTCTCCTTCAGAAGTAAGCTGTTTTGTTAGATCTTCTATAGATGTCTGAAGCTCTTTGACTGTTTGGTCTTTCTCAGTCTCTAAAGCAGAGAGCTTTGCCTGAAAATCGTCGATCTCTGACCCATGATTTGCTAGTTTCTGGTTCAATTCTATATTCACTTCAGCCAAATCTCCATTTTCTTTTTCTAGATCTTCTATAGTAGATTCGAGAGTCTTGAGTTTCAAGAGAACTTCTTCTAGCTCCACTTTTCTTGTATCAGCAGCTCCAGATGCTTCAAGAATCTGCCTTTTGTGCTCCTCAATTAGATTTTCATGGGATATCAACTTTGTGCTCAAGTCTTTGGCTTCTTTGTCTCTCTGATTAAACCTTTCATTCGCAGTTTCCTTCTCAGATTCCAGATATCCCTCAAGTTCTTGAATCTTGATCTTGAGCTGGTTGTTTGTATCTGCTAGTAATTCATTCTCTGCAGACGATTGATCGAGTTCTTCTTTCAAAGAAAGCAATTGACCAGTTGCTTCAGCCAATTTCCCTTCATATAATCTTATCCTCTCCTCGAGATCTTTTGATTTCTCAGCCAAAGACTTGGCCTCTGTATCTTTGCTACTGAAATCCTCCATTGCCTTTTGGATTTTAAGCTCTGAATGTTTATGCAAAGCTTCAAGCTCTATGCTTCTTGCGTTAGCTTCATCTATTTCTCTTGCTTGCTTCTCAAGTCTCTCTTCAGCAGATTTAAGCTTCTCTATCACAGCATTAAGATTCTCTGACAATTCCCTCTCTTTCTCTATTGCAACGCTTAAGGAAGCTTCAAAACTCGAGTTTTTCACTTGTAATGCTTCCAAGTCTTTCAATTTTTCCTCTGCTTCCTCTAATTTTGACTGAGATGTTTGGAACAGACCTTGTAGCTCAACACTGCGCTGAGTACTCACATTTCCAATATCTTCATGCTCTGCACCTTTCTGCAAAGCAACTCTCAAATCTTCTTCAAGCTCTGAGATTCTTGCTGATGATTGGTTCAGAGAAGATTCCAGCTTAGATACCTTTTCTTGGTATTCTTTCATCTGACTAGTTGACTTTTTTCCTTCCTCTTCAGACACTATCAAAGCAGATTTTAGTTCAGATACTTTCTCGGATAATTCCTCCAAAGATTTCAGTTTCAACTCAAGAACAGAGTTTTGGGACAAAGCTTGAGACAGAAGAGCATCTGTTTTAGAGAACTTTTCATCTGAAATCTTCAGTTTCTCTTCAAGTTCTTCAAAAGTCTCGGCCTCTAAAGCAGAAAGTCTTAGCCTTTCCTCCAACTCTATCACCTTCTTTCTCGAGTTCTCAACCTCAAGACCTAACCCATCAAAAGCTTCCTTAACTTCAGTTAGTTCCTTATGTTTAACATCATGCAGCTGCAAAGCATCTTCCAAAGACTTCAACTGTGAGCTATGTCTTGCTTCCCCTTCAGAAATTTGCTCTTGCAACTTCTTTTTAACCACTTCATGCTTCTTTTCTGTTTCTTCTAATCTCGCTTTCAAAAGGGTGTTCTCTGATTCATAGCGTTTCAGTTCCCCTGTTACTTTTTCCAATTCAAGCTCCAATTCTTTCGCCTTTTCTTGCGCTTCATGTAGTTCTCTTTGTGAACTGTTCGAGCTTTCTTGAATCGAAACTTTTTTCTCTGCTTTCTCGCCATCATCATACTTTTCGTTGATCCCTTCTTTCTCAACCTTTACGAAACCACCATCAAATGATGTATCTTCCTCTTCTTTCTCCATAACACTATCTTGCTTTGTCACTTGTTCATTCACGACCTGTGTAACAAATCGTCACAATACTTAATAGTTAGTTAATCTTTTTCAAGAAAAACCTAAAATCTTTCTTTGCCATGTCTTTAATCCTACTTAAAGTCAAAGATATAAGTGACAAGTTTCCTAGAGTTATATATTATGGAGTTAACTTGTATTTGAATCTTTAAGAGTGAATAGTTTTCTGCGGATTATTGGAAATTTAGACAATTGATCCAAATTCTTTTGTATTCAAAAGTTTAGCAAAATCTTCATCTAAATACAAGTTGAGAAGATCATCATTACCTTAACTAGAGGGACCTCGGAACTCACTTTTGTTGCTTCTTCCATAACTATAGTTAAGCAATTCCTATTATTTTTGTGGTCTGCATACGATGAAAATTTATGCTTAAATTGGTGGTAAAGAGTATATTTTTTTGTAGATGAAAGAAATGTTACACGTTAAAAGTATCAATAATCAACCATGTATATGTTTCTTGCATCAACAAGAAATATGATCAAGTTAAGTTGAACATTCCAACCGCAACAGATTCATTTTTTTTTAAAGAGAAAAAGAAAGAGCTAGCTTGCAAGAAAGAGAAACACCAATTCCCCATAGATTTTGATTATATAAAATAAACAAACAAGATAAGATATCATCTCTTTGTGACGGCAGAGAATTTCATTATAAATAGGATTATTCAATAGTGGATTTATTATTGCTAACAAAATAGATCTCTAAATATCAGAAGATAACCAATACTACTTGATAAAATTTACGGTAGATGAGAGTATTTTAGTTTATGAATTTTGACATTATGGTGTCAATAAATAAAGAATACCCAACAAAATGAAAGGCATATTAAATGTCAACCAAACTGGTAGTTCTCTCTTAAGAAATTATGTTTATATATTTTCGAAAACGCAAAAAAAAAAAAGGAAAAAAAATGAAAGAAGACCATTAGATAGAAAAAAATGAGAGAAGACCATTAAACGTCTAACCAAGTTTCCATCCGTTATGTTTGATGAGAGAAAAAAATAAAAGAATGAAAATCTAATTTGTAATTATTCTTTTCTTAGTGATTAACCTAGTTTTCTCGACGCTAAACATCTCTTTAAAAGTTGCACCTAAATCTTGGGAAGAAATCATACCAAAAAATTTACCAAAACTAATCGGCAATTGGTAATAATCAAATATGATATGATCAAAGAGAGACTTTTGAGTTTGAAAACTAACTACTACTACTACTACTTGAAAAGATGATCGATTGAAATCACGAAGTCGGAATCAAAAACAGAGACAACTTGGATTTTTTATATATATAGAAATTAGGATACAAATCACAAAATACAACGGCAAGATTGCAAATATACAACGAAAAATTACAAATATATATTTTAAAAAGAAACATAAGAGTTAGGAGGGAGAGATACACTTACTTGAAAGATGCTCTGTATCTAATGTACTAATAATCTGTGTGTTCTTTTTCCGGATACTTGTCTAAAAAGATTTCACATATTGTTCGGAGATGGGAACAAATTTAGAGACAAAGAAAAAAAAATGCAGAAAAGAAGAAGAAGATGAAGAGATCACGTAATTGGGAGACAGAGAAAGAGTCTTTTTCTTCTTTAAACAAAGTGGAGAGCGAGTGGATGGATCTCTTTGTATATTTGTATTATTAAACACACAATGAATGAATTCTCTAAATTCCCACTATGCCCCTTCTTATTTTTTATTCACATGGCCATATGGGTATTATGGGGGTTCACTGCTAAACAAGTTTGAGAAAGTGTTTTTTTATTCATCAGTAAAGGTCGGAAAACTGGAGTAACCACTGATCTCCATCGATATAAGAAGCGTTGACGAAGAGAGCCACTTGAGTCTCGTTAAGCTTCTGAACATACGGTGCCCTCTTTGACATATCAGCTCCTGCTCCCGTACAGTTATACTCTCCATAGAATATTGTTCTATAACAACAATATAGAAATTATATCATTAACCCTAGCTTTTTCACAACAACACACACACAAAAAAAAACAGAGCACTTATTGAAATTAATATGAGTTTTGAATACACTTACGCATCCCTAGAGGGATCGTTGAAGTTGTTCCAGCCTTCGGATGCGATAACATCGGTCATGGTAGTGGAAACGAACACGACACGTGAGTAAGGCCTCCATGCACGACCTAGCCACACGTGGCCAGTGCCACCGATCGAGCAGTTGACGAACGAGAAGCCACTGTTCTCGTCCTTGGAGTTCCGACCGTTTGCAGTCACGGCTCCGTTGACCGCCTTTGACCCTGGGCTCACTTGGTTCGCCATTGATATTATTCGACAGTCCTATATATACCCACAATTAACATTGGTGGACATTGGACCCATCGAAACCCTAAATATATGAAGGTACCTGGTAGAGAGATTTAGCGTTGCCGAAGATGAAATCAATGGAGCCTTGAATGTAGCAATCCTTGAAGTAATGACGACCTCTATCGTCATGAAGAGTGTCCTGCGCTCCGAAGAAACCGCATCCCACAAACGCCGATTCATCTCCGGCGATTCTTATTGCCACCGCCTGAGCTCCTACGTCTCCTGGCTTTGGTATCGGAGCCACGTTCTATGTCACACCACAAAGTTATTTTAGGTTTTTTAATAGCATTTGTTGGTGATACAAGCTACTCAGCTAGGTTGACCTAGCTAATCCGGTTTATACCTAGCTAATCCGATTTAACCAAACCGAAGCGAATTGGTTTCATAGTTTACTTAATTCGGATAAATATCGTAACCAGACAGTCCAGACCGAACAAAAGCTGAGAGGTAAAATACCAAACCGGTTATAGCAACATAATTTTCAAAATTCTTCCTACAAAGCTACAATATCGTTTCTGAGAAATCGAAATCAAAACAGTTGACCACCAGTTTGTATTGATTCTTGATGGTTGGGTAAAACGAATAAATCCGAACCGGTAAGGTAAATCAGATTACGTACGTAACGCATCTCTTTCTGTTTTTTTCTTTTTTTCAATACGCATCTCTCTTTGATCTTAGAAAACACCCTTGATTCCATTTTTGTTTAAGAAAATATGCTAATTGTTTTACTGTAATCGATAAATTAGTTAAATTACCATGAAACTAATGTTCTTAGCGACGAACTGAGAACCGAAGACTTGGACCGTGGCACAGTAAAAAGTGCCATTAGCTGAGTAGGCCGTGTCGTTCCACGCTATGGCCGTAGTCTCGAACCCTTGTCCTTGCAACGTTATGTTCGGTTTAGTCTTCGGAATCATCACTTTTTCACTGCCATGCAATAATTATATATATCAGGTTACTTTAATTTATATATATTAATTGAAAGTTTAGTAATTAAATATTGTTGATAATGACATACTAGTACATGCCGGAGTTGATCCAAATCACGTTCCTTCTCTGACTATAATTCCCCACTGCGTCCACGGCCGACTGCACTGTCGTGAAATTGCAGCAACCATTCTTATCCACGCAGAGATAGGACGTTGTGTCCGTGTCCAATGGAGGTATATTCTTGGGGAAATCGTCACATATTGATACCTTCTTTTTGGTATCCGAAGAATGTCTATGACGGTGATGATGATGACGATGATGGTGGCCACAGAAGGATATTTTTACTGAATATGATATTGCTTTGATACCATGTAAAAAATCAAAAGGACTGGACATGAAAGCTTCATGATGCTTTTCCAAGAGAGTTTTGGATGCTAAAATGGCAATAATAGCAATACCTATGGATAGAGCTAAAGAGATTCTTCTATATTTCATTATTTTTGGTATAAGTGATATCTGGAAAATAGATGAGAGAAAAATTGTGAAAGTTTGGTTGGTTGTTTCAGGGATTTGAGAGGGAAAAGATAAAAGGAACTTAATGAATAGGAGAATGCAAAAGAGAAAGTTATATTTATACGAAAAAGAGAAAATATGAAATTGCATGAAGTGTAAGGATTTGTTGGAATGCCTTGCAAATTACCCTTTGCTAATGTTTGCTTTCTAAAAAATATTTAACAATCTCGATCGACCTACCCAAAAAAAGCTCATAGCCTTTACGAGAGAAATTTGAAAAAGTGTACTTATCATTTTATAGAGATCCCATTGTCGACAACTCGACATGATAACTTGATAAGTACATATCTCACACGTAAAAAAAAAAAAAAAATGAGAAGTAACAAATGACATACAAATTTCATGATTCTACACTTTATAGTAAAGTGATTATTATACTAATACAATATACAAACATAACAAAAAAAAAATTAGAGAAAAAGTATTCGTCTACTAATTAAGCAACTTAGTTTTTTTTTTTTTTTCTTTTTTTGTCGACAAAGCAACTTAGTTCAATCTCCAATATATTTGTTTTGTTGTTATATTATTTCTCATTGTAAAAAGAAACACAGAAAAAGTTTAGTTAAAAATGATTCTATGTATATTACTCTATACAACTACAAATTAATATATGCTTAGTCAATAAACCTCATTATTTTGGGAAGTTGAGTACACATTTAACGTACTTGATTGATTATTTGACTATATACTACTATCCAATGTCCACAACCTTAATTATGATAACCGAAGATAAAGAAGAAGAAATTCCGGTTCATATAAAATAGAAATTTAGTTTTGCAAACCGTTGCAAGATTATGTTGCCTCACCATTTTCTTCACTTTTTGCCTCCACTGCTTCCATCGATCGTTGAATCCACCTCCCACATGCACCTTCACCTTTGCCTCCTTTCAATATATACTTGCCGGATAAATTGGTCTTGAATGTTGTTTTGCTTCCTTTGTTTCTAACAAAACTATTTTTTTTTTGCATTTATATGAGCCAAAGATATATTTTTGTGAACATTTTGATGATCTTCTGTAAAACTACTTATGTATATTTTAGGGAACTGCTATCAAAGATTAGATTTGAGAGATTAATGTGACAAGAGGCCAAATCATTTGTTAAACATTGTCAAAATGGTTAGCATGAAGACACAATGGTGCGTACTCAAATTCAAAAACGTTCAAAATTTTATCATGCTGACTTTGACGAAACTATTTTTAAATTAGCAAGTATATATGAATCCATGTAATCACATGACGGCGCGATACTGCAAACTACTAGGCTAGAATCCCCGGTTATATTAGAAACTATAAAGTCAATGGTTGAATGTACAAATCTCTTTTGCATGAATTGTTAGAGACGATATATAAAATAAATTCTTCATTTAATAAGATGCATCAATTATAAGAGCTATAAATTTGATTAAGAAAGTAATAATTATATATTTATTGTGTTAATTTTAAACACTACAAACGTTGAACGAAATTTTGATTTCATTTTGATTATATACAAAACCGTAAGTGGAAATATGAACACTAGAATAGTACAGTATAAAATACGAGCTTTAGAAGACTTATTATGAACAAAACAAAAATATCGTCACAATCAAAAAGTCGTTGAAACTGAAGTTTGAAGTCTTCTCGCAATTGAGTATTTGATTGTATTACAAAAGATCAGTCAAAAGACTCAAAAGTGATTCTTTAATTATCCGACGGCTTCCCGTTACATAGAGTTTGGCACTCATATATGCTATTCCTAGCTTGGAAGAAAAAAAGACAATAAAGTTTTGTTTGGTGCGGTGGCTACTAAAACGAATTACTGCTACAATTACAAGTATATATAGGACAAATTACGTCTATACTATAATAATAATGCCCATAATCGTTTCTTCTTCTTTTTTGTCGTTGAAACTTGTGGTCTCTTGGGGATGAATTATTCATTAATTGTTGTCATATCTCACAATTACCAGCCACCAGAAAATACAAAATAAAAACTGGCCACCTCAGAAACATGGAAGAGGAGGGTCGTATATTGATTATACCCTTCCAAGACAACGTCCTAAAGACTTCAGATCGATGATAGAGGGAAGTCTTCGGTGATGTGAAGTGAAACCAACCATGTTCGAAGAATCAAATTATTAAGTCATTTTGTTTTTTCTCCAAGAATCAAAGTCATTCGATGTGGACCATTAATTTCACAACTCTTCCAAACCTGTGTACAGTATTATTAAATAATAATAAAAATGGTTCTGGTTCTCTTCAGTTTTGCTTTTAAAATTAATATCTTATTAAAAAGTTTCAACAAATCGTTTGGTTATATTGATATATATTAGTGTATGTTATACAGAAATTACCTTGTTGTGATCGTTGACAAATCCAAGAAATTATCTTGGTACGTCTGTGTTCTGACGGGTTAAAGAAAATAATATTTTGGAGGCACAAATGATCAATCGATTAAAACATAAAATAAATAGTATATATAAATAACTGATGAGTGGATAACATCTTTTTTATTGGTAGATAATCAAATCAAACATGTACTTCTTTTCTTGTAAAAAGTTTTTAGCATATTAGATGAGAACCACATAAACAAATATCTACTTACACATCATAAAAGCTAAAATTCAATTATGCTAAATGGTAATTTACACTGCTAGACAACTAGAAAAGTTAGAAACTCCAGAGTTTTGGGGGGGGGGGGGGGGAAACAAAATTCGTGACCTTTTTTGTTGGGCTCTTCCGGTTAGGGGGAGATATTATCTCTCGTGTTTGTTTGTTGGTGGTTTTCGTGATTTAGTTTCAAAATCTTTGATACATATATTTCGAATATGTATATGATGTATGAGCAGTAGTAAATTCATGCCACATCAAAGGTACCAAACATTTGGCTTTGGTTAATTAAGCCTTGGCTAATTACTATGGCAATATCTTTTTAAAAAGTAGTAACAGATTGTGATGCGTACACCCAAAGAAAGGTACGTCAAGAGATGTTAAAAGAAGTCGGAAAATGAGAAAACCATGAAAAGGAAACAGGGGAAGATAGAGTCATTATATCGACATAATCAGAGTTTTGAGTGGTTTGACTTCACATGTGCTTAAACAAAAAGAGACTAGTCAACTTGTTTTAGAGATAGTTCCGTACTTTTAATGTCGACATTCTCACGACATACTTTTTTTTAAGGATAAAAAGAGTTTAAAAAGCTTCTTTTATTTTTAATCTCTACTTCTAATTGTATTTTTTAATATCATTCACGAGAAAAACAGTTTCATACACGTAGCATGTCTGGACTTGAACGTAAACGTTAGTCTTTCTTTCTTACTTTTGAAAATCTAATCTCTAAAATATTCGATTTTTCCTTTTTTATTTCCCCTTCTATATAAAGTAGCCCTCAACTATTTTGTAGTTTTGTACCATGGCCGAACGAATAAAATGAAACAATATTTTCGATGACCGTATTCACCTTTTGTTTATTACTAGTTGTTTTAGATTGTTAGTGAATTTTGTTTACACTGATCACATGGGCCATATTATTTGGTATTATAACTCAATGATTGCGAATAATTTGAGTATTATTTGTTTTGAATGGAGTAAAGCAAACAAACGATACTAGTAAGTTTTTTAATTTGTTTTTATTTTGAAGCTTTTAGCAAAATATTTTAAAATATTCAGAGTGAAATAAATATGTACATGTTCATTCATTAAAGTTTTAATTTGAAGGACATGCAGGAGCTAATTTTATCTTTCTTTCTTTTCTGTCTTTTCTTCTTTGAATTATTGAGTTAATCTTTTCTGAGTTCTCACCGAAACAAAAAAACAAAAAAAAAATTATGTGTATATAAATGCCATAAGAAAGTATATAATTTTAAAAATTTTAAAATAAATAAAGTCTTACATTAGAATATCACTTGTAAAAAGATATAAATACACACTCGCTGAGATAGACACTAGAACGATCACTCCAATCTCCACCCCTACTTTGTCCTTTATTCTTACATTTCTTCTCGTCATCAATATCATCGTCAAGAGATTCAACACAACACATTTGCAAAACCCTAATCGCTAAGATGAGAATCACACATAACGTCAAGCTCTTACTCTTCTTCTTCTTCGTCTCCTTCTTCCTCATCGTCGCATCCGCCGCCGAATCAAAATGCGAGTGTTCACACGAAGAAGACGGAGAAAACAAAGCCGGAGCTACTAAATACAAGATCGCCGCCATACCTTCCGTTCTTGTTGCCGGAGTAATCGGCGTTCTGTTCCCGTTACTTGGAAAATTCTTCCCGTCTCTGAGACCGGAGACGACTTTCTTCTTCGTGACGAAAGCCTTCGCCGCCGGCGTAATCCTGGCGACGGGGTTTATGCATGTGTTACCGGAAGGTTACGAGAAGCTGACGTCACCGTGTCTGAAAGGAGAAGCTTGGGAGTTTCCGTTCACAGGGTTTATCGCGATGGTCGCAGCGATTCTGACTCTCTCCGTTGATTCTTTCGCGACGTCGTATTTTCATAGATTACATTTCAAGACGTCGAAGAAGATTGGTGACGGTGAAGAACAAGGCGTTAACGGTGGCGGCGGCGGTGGAGACGAGCTCGGGTTGCACGTGCATGCTCATGGTCACACGCACGGGATTGTTGGCGTGGAATCTGGTGAATCCGACGTTCAGCTTCACCGGACTCGAGTTGTGGCTCAGGTTATTTAATTAAATTAATATTTAAATTCACCACTATATTTTTTATTTCTTAACTTTATATATATATATATAATGATACAATTACTGATTATATGAAATTTAAATATATATATATATATATCATTTAAATACTATTAAATTACGATTAGTATATAATATTAAGAGTTTGTAAAGTTGAGGTGCATGGATTTTTGGTCCATGCGGGTAAACAAATTCTTTCGAAGAAAGTTGACCACATATTCTGGTCCCCTAAAAGATAGATAAAATAAAACAAAAACTCTTTAATATACATAGTAATTTATTCCAAAAGTAACTGTTAATACGGTTTGTACCCTTTAATATAAGTTGTAACGTAAAAAGTGAGTCAACTAAAATTGTTTTGAAACCTAAAAATTAGATCAAAGAAAGATGCAATCTTATTCGTGTGTATGAAACTAACTAAGCATAAAGGTATGAGATACAATGATAAATGATGGGTCCATTATATGAGTTTGGCTTCCCCTTTCATCACTCTCTTTACGTAGTTTTCGCATGAAAGATTCCAATATAGATTCCTAATCCTTTTTATGTAAAGCAGTGAAGCTAATAATAACAACTCAATTTTTGTTAAAAAAATAGGTGTTGGAAGTGGGAATAATAGTACACTCAGTGGTAATAGGAATATCACTGGGGGCATCACAAAATCCAGACACGGCCAAAGCTCTCTTTGCTGCTTTAATGTTTCATCAATGTTTCGAAGGTCTTGGTCTTGGTGGCTGCATCGCTCAGGTAAACTATACTATCTTTACTTTACAATTTTCCTATTTCATAATTCGTTTTTTTTTCATCTGCTACTCATATCTATATGAATCATAAGGTATATATAATTAAGGTGTATAGTATTCATTGATATTATCTACTGAATTTTACATAAAACGTGTGTCGTCCATCATTTCGGCTATCTTTGACTTATCTATCTCCTCCACTTGCGAACTTCAAACAGCGATTCCATTTTCAACTCTTGGTTACACAAACACACACATCATCTGACTTTCTCCACTTAGATATTTCTGTTTCTTCTTCAATTGATTACAAAAAGACAAATGTACAATATTTTGACCATGATGATAGCTACTCAAATTATTTTCGTCGTCTACCAATGCATGCAAGAGTTGAACCTTTGTTTTAATGGCTCTGACTGAATACATGTTTGACAAATATACTGTTTTTACATTGTCTTTTTCAAACATTTGACTCTCTTTGTTTTTTTTCTTTAAAACAATTTGACTCTCTTTGTTAAGGGGGAAAATAATCAAACATTCTGACATGATCAGATAAATCATCAAATACACACTCTAGATTACAAACATATACTGTAAAACTTGGCGAAAGATAATAGTGATCATATATAAAATAATACCATGTTTCGTGTAGACCGAGATATAGAAATTTGATCAAATTGTGTATATATGTTGCAGGGAAAATTCAATTGTATGTCAATTACAATAATGGCGTTATTTTTCTCTGTAACGACCCCCGTGGGAATAGCGGTGGGAATGGCAATATCAAACTCTTATAACGAGTCGAGCCAAACGGCTCTGATCGTCCAGGGAGTGCTCAACGCAGCGTCGGCAGGCATCCTCATCTATATGTCTCTCGTAGACTTTCTCGCAGCAGATTTTATGCACCCAAAGATGCAATCTAACACTGGACTTCAAATTATGGCCCATATCTCTCTTCTTGTTGGGGCCGGAATTATGTCACTTTTAGCTAAATGGGCTTAGATTCGCCTCCCATTATACATACATAGCCCGTTTGTTTATGCAAAACGATGATGATGATGATATGTGGTCACAAGAGTTAAAATGTACACTTCTAGTTTATAGTCTTTGTTCATACATTGTAAGAAATAGTTGAAACGAAATTTTAAGAGTGTAATAATTAACAAAATGTATGGTAAACTATATACAGTACGTACTTAGTTCGATTTTCTAAAATATGTAAATGGGAAAAAATGGAAATATCTTATGGTATATGTTATGTATATGTCAAGATTAACCTTTTTACTGAAATAAACAAATTTATGATGGAGGTTACAATGTCAGAAACTAAAATAAAACTATTAACAGATGGCCGAATTAAATACAGAGAAAACGTTGACTGGTTGTTGATTAAAATAAACGTTAACTATATTTATAGAAAATAATCAAATTATAAAAAATATCATACGTTTTTAGATTATAAAATAAAAAATTGGAAAAATGGATTAGTATCTGACTCATTTTCCCAATTGTATATTTTTAAAATAGAATACTTTTATGTATTTCTTTTTATAAAAAAATACATTGCCTAGTTAGATGACAAATCCTATCCTAAGATTACCAATTAGCTATGATCAGTTACTTAATCACGATAGATATTATCCTAAAAAAAATAAACCATTATCCTTAAATGGCAATGGTTAACGTCACACAATATTTGTTGCAGAAATTAGAATTTAATACGTTTCGGAGTAATTGACTGATAAATACAGTTTAGAGATAGCTCAACAGACTTTGGATAATTAAAAAAAAAACAGAACTTAAAGTTAAAGGCCGAAACTGAAACGTTTTAGTTAGAATATGTTTTTCTCTCTGATCCGTCAGTGTTATCGTTCACCTTCGAAAGATGGAGATGGATCATCTTCTTCTTCTTCTTCTTCTACTTACACCGTGGTTGATACGCACGCGCGTATGACGAGGACGACATCTCCGTATGTGAATCGTCACGTGCCGTTTTGTCCGGAGCGGAGAAAGATCGACGGAATACGGCGGTGGCGGCCGTCTCTTTCTGCTATTTCGGAAGACGCATCCACCACCACCGTCTCCGCCGGAGAGACTGATCCTTCGTTTAGAAAATTTTTAGCCAGAGAAACGGCGTCCTTCTCCCGCAGAGATCGTACTACTATTAAGAGAGCCTGGTATGTTTTTTTTCATTTTTTTCTATCTTCTCAGCTTTTAAAAAAAAAATATTATTCTGGAGATTCTTTTCCTCTTATATGCAAATCAATTATACTCTATATATATATATTACAATGTCATTGTTTTTAATTGTAGCTTTTCAAATTTAGATTTGTTGAAGGATATGTTTTTGATAATTTTTTTCTGATAATCATCAGCTAATTTAGTGATCACTGATTAGTAGGACTAATTATATAACAGAGACAAATGAGGATTATAATGGGTGACAAAACTGAAAATGAAATGAACCACTATTTGTATATTTTGTTATAATTAATAGATGGGAGTAATTTTTGTTTGGATGCAGGAGAAACACAATCACATACCATATAGCATCACCCGGTTTCGCTCCTTCTCCGTTCATGTATTGAAAGTGTGTAGTGTGTGTATTCATGATTCTTGTATTTCACCTTCTGCAATGTTGTGCGCTTTTACGTAGTACCTTAATTCGAGAGATTATTAGTAACAATTCTTGTAATTACAATGCTTGAGGCTCTTAATCCTTTTATGTCACTTTAATTGTGATCATTATGAATTCCGTTTGTTTGATATTGAGAAACAGTTAATTAAATAAAATAAGAGAAGTCAAATTATACATAGATTTCCTTATTAATTGTAATAAACAAACCAAAAGATTACTCACTTTTACATATATATATATTGTTATAAGTAAAATATCTCACATTTTTAATTACTATATTTTTATAGTGATTATTATGAATACATAACATCTGTGTATTGACAAATGTTTGATAAGTTTTTTCTGTTTTTTTTTTAATATTTACAACAACAACAAAAAAACAGATTACAATTAAAAAAAAAATTGAATACAAAAAGTGAAAAATGATTTTGGATTTGATTTTGTGTAATTCTGTCTTTCCATGACTATTGATTGTTAGTAGATACAGTCTTGTTACTTTGTTTTAAGATATCTATTTTTTCTAGTTCATCTTATTTCTGTTACACATGGTGTCTTATAAGCTATAACTTATCATTTCCCCCACATGTCATTATACTATAAATCATATTCGAAATTATTTAATAAAGATCTATTAAAATTGGTCTCTTTAGAGACCATTTTTATTTCAAGAATCTTGTGGTTTTCATTTTAGTATTGGATATGAACGCATTTATTTAACTACTTACTACTAATATATAGATTGGAACGAACAAAATTAGTCATTTAGGCATTGTCCACGCTAGCCCCAATCTAATCCAGCTCTCTTTATATATTAATCCATTTATCTCATAAAAAGAAGCACTGTTCCCACTCCCTGCACATAAGCTTCTCAATTTCACAAAGAATCAGATCGCTTCATCTTGATTCACCCTTTATTATTTAACCTCTTATAAAACATATATGGAAGAGGGAAACAAAACGGGGAAGAAAGGATGCTTCTGCGTTACAATAACTGTTTGCATTGTTTTGATCGTGGGCTTAGATATCGTCGCTGGTTATGTCGGATTACAAGCCGAAGTCGCCCAACAAGATGTAAATATATGTCTTTTTATATATATATTATAGTCAACAATAAATGATGATGATGACGAGAGATGATGCATAGTTATAAAATATTTTGTTTTTGGTATATGTGGCAGGTGAAGCACAATAGGGTGTGGATGGTCGAGTGTAAAGCTCCAAGCAACACAGCTTTCACGTTAGGGATAATCGCAGTGTCATGTTTGGCAGCAGCTCATGTCATTGCCAATGTGATCGGATGCTCTATCTCCAGTCTACTCCCAACAGTCGGCGGCGTAACTAAAACGATCACCGCAAACTTATACATAATATGCCTTGGTCTCAATTGGTAATAATCTTTTAAGTACAATCCTAAAACTCAAAATACATCAATGTCATGCATCATGAGAAAAATGATAGTTAATAGGTTTTTATTTATATCATGTTTAGCTAGAGAAACATCATGAAATACTATTAAATTATTACATTCTCAGAAATAGAAGAAATCTATGTATTTTTTAAAGAAAAACTAAGGAAAATTTCGAATCATCACTACGTATTTAAGCTTTGCACAAGGTTGCTTCAAGATTAAACATTTTATAGCGTATTTCAAACCAGTAACATTATTTGTTCAAAAGCTCTTGACTGAATGAATTATATTGGTTTAAAATTTGAGACAATTAAAATATGTTGGTTGAGAGCAGGCTCGCAGGACTCGCTGCAGCGGGGGCACTTGCGATGGGGATATGGTCCAACAGAGAGTCAAGAACAGAGTGTGGATTCACAAACAAGCATTATCTCTCTATCGGATCCTACCTGAGTTTCGTCCATGCCTTTGTCTCTGTCGTTTATTACGTATCGTCTATTGTAGCTTAAAAAAGTCGCCGTTGATTTGTGAAATGTTCGTATATTCATAGACTTTCTCAATTCCGCTTCTTTTGTAAAGAAATCGTTATCTCTTTCTTGTTTCATAATAGCTCATGTAACAAAGATAACTGAAGCTAGATAACTTAACTAAGATGTTCAGAATTCTGAGAATACTTGTGTTTTTGTCTTTGTCGTACTAGTGTAGTTTACTATATGAAGCATAGGTCAGTGCTGACATTTTTTTATGTTGACGTGGATATATGTAGTGAAATTTCACCAAAAAACTAAAATTTTCTTCAAAAATGATTTATTGAATTTATAAGGGAAATACAAAAGAAGGATAAAGATGAAACCGAAGGATTAAGGATAAAACGTTATAACAGTGAGATTCAAAACTGATTATAATTATATTTAGACTCGAAATACTAAGAATGTTCTAACAAAGCTTATTCTAAATTCTAAACTTGAAAATTCGAAATTTTCGCAGATAGATTCGCTTTTCCCGTCAGGTACAAAAAAAAAAAAAGTTTCCATTTATTTACCCTATTTGCCATCCAAAAACCCTATAATGCAAACTGAACATCCCGATGAATATGCCTTCATACTACATAACGTCAACATATTTACACGTGTAACAATAACCTATAGTATAAATTAAGAAGCACAAGCTATACTAAAAGATCTCAAAACTATCTTTCAAACTTAGAGATCTCAAATTCTCATACATACTGTTCGTATCCCTTTTTTTTGTTTTGATTTTTTTTGGTTCTTTGAAATTAAGTGCAAATATGGGATCACCATTGTGCGATCATTTGGTTAGGCTTTGTCTTCAATGTGACTGGAGGTTACACTATGAGACTGTGAAAAGCCACGATGACTCGCGGATTCCGTTGTGTAACAATTGCGTTTCCCAAACCGCGGTTGTCCAATGCCTTGATAGAGGCTTGTGCCTTTGCCAAACATGCTTTTTAAACCCTAATATCTTCTCACGTTTTTGTATTCTTCAAGACGGTGGTTCTAGTTATAATTCGCAATACAGTTGTCTTGATTTCGATTCCTCTAATTCATCGTCTTCTTCATCTTCTGTTCTTGATCGCAATTCGCCATTGTCCTATGGTTCCTTACCTCTCATTAATGAGGACTCGTCATCATCTTTTGAATTCTTTCAAAGCAATATTGATAATTATACAAAGAATAGTTATAGTGATCAACAAGTGCCGATGCTTCGGCCCCATTCTTTGAACATTCCTAAGGTAGTGTATATATACCAATGATTGTTTTGTCTTTTGATTTATTTAATTTCTGTGTTTGTAATTCATGTAATGTACTTTACGCAGGATAGTTCATGTTCAGGCTTCAATAGCTATGAAACTAAAGAATATATAGATAATGTTTTGCTGAACGCTTTTGATGGCGACGAGGCAGTATTATTAGACCTAAAAGAATATAACCCCAATGAAGATTTGATCCTAAATGATCAACTAATCGATGAATTAACGAAGCACAATCCAGAGAGCACGTCGACCAAGGTATTAACGACCATCAGATCAGTTCTGTCGGTTCTGTTTAGCTTTAATGGTCGACTTAATCCTGACGTTCTTTTTGTTTTTCTTGTTACAGATTATATCATCTTCATCATCGGGTATGTCATCGGTTATACATAAAGATTACAGCATTGGAGCTTTGGCTAATGCAAGCTCTCAAGATTACTATATAAATCAAATGAATGGTTCAAAAGCAAAGGAAGAGACCAATGATGTTGCAATATTCCCTAACGCTCTTGTTCAACTTGACTGTGGACAATCGCAGTTGATTTTAACCGATGAGATGTTACCATGGGAGAATCGAAGACGTGTTCAAAGATATACTCCGGAAGCTCGAGAAGAGGCGAAGAAGAGATATTTCGAAAAGAAGAAGAAACGCAAGTAGGTATTATATCTCATGAAATATATTACATATAACTCCATGCCAAGTGTATTATACGTACTTACAAGTTCAAATTTAATAACAAAAAATGCAGGTTTGGGAAGCAAATTAGATACGAGTCTCGAAAGTCTACAGCTGACACGAAGAGACGAATGAAAGGAAGATTTACAAAAGCTGATGCAGAGTATGATTATGACCCACGAGCTAATAATGTTAAGAAACGGACTAATAAAAATCATGAGCTGATGATAGACCAAGCTCAATTTTGAGACAGCAATAAGGACAATAAAGATATGCTTGCAATCATGCATATGACCATCATCGGTAATAATACACGGTTTAGCCATTCATAATGTTTATCCAAGGCCCAAGGGTGTGTTGTAGTAGTTCTCTGGTTCTGTCTGGTTGGTCTACATATCAAAACTCCGCTGGATGCACACGCTTGACAGTTGACGATTGCAAAAGTCACCGAGAGGTCAAAAACGCTCTCGACTAGCGTTGATTCGATTCTAGAGATTATTTCTTTAATTTCTTTTATTTTATTTTTTTGATTTAAAAAAATTAGAGGACTTATCACGAAAAACGATAAGTTACTAAAAATCTTGGTTAGACTCTTACCGGAAGTCAATTCGGTTCATCAGTTTATGTTACGTTTGGTTAGGTTAAGTTTTATAAATATTGGAGAAGAAGCAAGACCAACCAAACTAAATCAAAACTAGAAAAACAGGGGAGTGTCCACGTGAGTCAGTCAGTAGTATATTAAACCACGTCTTTTTGCAAATTAAAGATACGTATTTTTCATGCCATTTTTTTTTTCACTTTTCCTAATTAACAAGTTCGTTAATCATATTTCACGAAACAAAAATTCAACCATGCATGTCTTAGTTATATATATTAATATCATCCCCTATGGCTCGGATCTTGTGACACTGCACATGTTGTGGGCAGCAAAATTTACGTTACTAAACGTTGCTTGTTTCATCTCTTCTTGATATTTTAATGTGTCAATTACATATGCCCTTTTATTCATCTCTTCTTAATTGGACTAGTCCGATTTGTAAACTTACAATTGACTCGAATAATATTAGAAACGAGATCTAGGTACACATTTACTAAACATTAACTAATGATTTGTTTCTGTGAACTAACATGTACTAATAATGATATCAACATATATATAACAGAAACATGTATCTTCTGTGACAAAAAGGCGAAAAATATCTACTGCAATGGCCGGAAAAAAAAACTTATTTGTATGATAAAATTTTTTTCTCTATTGTAAAATAAAATTAAGAAACTTTTTCTTAAAGGAAAAATATTTTTGTTAAAGGAAAAAAGTCTCTATTATTAAACTAAAAATCCGTTTTGTTAAAATGAAAAATCTCGGTTATAAGTGAAGATAAATTGACACGCGTCATCGTCCAGTGATATAAATCGCACTACCAAACGTATAAGCATCTCCAAATAAGTTGTGCATTACTCTATATAGCAAAAAAAAATATTACACAAAGTGGAATAACGTATTTAGTCCAAAAAGACTCCAACACTCCAATTAGAATTTCGAATTCTAAATACACAAATAATATATTTTACAAGCTCTTTCTTCGTTTAAGCTTGCGTACCCAATCACAATTCACAACTATATATTAATCTATAGTTAGGCACCATTAATTTCTACCCTAAAAGCTTTTTAAACATGACCCCATTACTCTCCTTCTAATCAACCTCTCCCTCCTCCGCCGCCTCTACGACCGCCGTGACCACCACTATACTTTATTATACCCACCGTCCTATCATATTCTTGATTTAAGATCTTACCATTCCCATATATATATTTATATAAAGGTACCTAACATACCAAAATTTATCCTACTTGGTAGACATTTTTGTCTCTGTCGAACCGTAAGGAAATGTATCTTCCATTTCGACCCGTATCGAAAACCCATTCTTCCTCTTCTTCTTCTTCGACTATCGCGACGCGTATGATAAACTGCATACTACTTTTCGCATTCATTTTCTTGGTCTACCTTTTCATCTCGGCCTCGAGGCTTCACTCTAAAAACCTTATTCATGCCTGCTACTCATCATCTTCGGATCAAGATCAATCTAAGAGCCTAATTACAAAAATCGACCACGTCGTCTTTGGGATAGGCTCAAGCACGAACTCGTGGCCTGCGCGTCGAGAATACGTTAAGCTTTGGTGGGATGCTCAGAAAATGAGAGGCTGCGTCTTCGTTGACCGTCCCTTGCCGTCTTCGGAGAACCACACAGATTCTTCTGATCTCCTTCCTCCGGTTTGTATTTCCCAAGATACTTCTCGGTTCAGGTAAATTATTAGTTTCAACTTTAATTTCATCCTCCGTTAAAAAATACGTATTAGTTGTGGATTATTTTATTACTTAAATCAAATACAGGACTATTTGCTGTAACGTCTATTGTTTAAAACTGTAACGTATATTGTTAAAATGTAACGTCTATTAATTAATTTAAAAATTTCTTAATATATTATATTATTATTATATAGTTGTCAGTTGATTTTTGTAATTATGTAAACTCAACTTTTATTATATGAAAATTGAAACAGGTATACTTGGAGTGGCGGTGATAGAAACGCGATCCGAATTGCGCGGTGCGTTCTAGAAACCGTCACGCTCTTCAACGCTTCTTCGGAAGAGGTAAGATGGTACGTGTTTGGAGACGACGATACAATATTCATCCCAGAAAACCTCGCTCGAACGCTGTCCAAATACGACCACACGTCTTGGCATTACATAGGATCGAGCTCGGAGATTTATGAACAGAACTCTGTTTTCGGACACAACATGGCTTTTGGCGGTGGAGGGTTCGCCTTAAGCAGCTCCTTGGCTAATGTTTTAGCTAGAAACTTTGATTCTTGTATCGAACGGTATCCACATTTGTACGGAGGAGACTCTAGGGTTCATGTTTGTGTCCTTGAGCTTGGAGTTGAATTGTCTCGTGAGCCTGGCTTCCATCAGGTTTTAAAACTTCTTTTTCTTTTTCAATAATTAGTATCAATATTATTAAAAAATACTATTTGTTTTTATATTTTAAGCAGTTTGATGTGAGGGGAAATGCATTGGGAATATTGACATCACATTCAACGAGACCGTTGGTGTCACTACACCACATGGCTCACATTGACCCAATCTTTCCAAACTCAACCACTTTCTCCGCCGTCCGCCACCTCTTCTCCGCCGTGGAACTCGACCCTCTCCGTATATTTCAACTCTCCGTTTGCTATGACCGTTGGTACTCTTGGACCATCTCCGTCTCCTGGGGCTATACTGTTCAGGTTATATATATATACTTTATCTTGATGACTCCGTTAACCTTAATGTTTTAATATAATCCAAATTAATATGTGTGTTTCAAATACGTTAGATTGATAGTCGGCATTTGTTACTAACGGATGCTTTGCGGACACAAGAGACGTTCCAACCATGGCAAAACTCAGGCGGATTGGCAAGTGTTTACACATTCAACACAAGAGAGATTCATCCTGATCCTTGCCAAAGACCTGTCACTTTCTACATGCAACATGTCTCTTCTAGTCCCCATAACGGGACCATTATTAGTGTTTACAAGCAAGCTTATGAGAATTGCACCTACGATCCCATTACATCCCCTCGCAAAATCAAAGAGATTAGAGTGTTTTCAAATAGACTCGATCTCGATATCAGACAAGTAATTCATTCTATCTTTTCATCTTTCCTTATATATATATATATATTTTATCAAAAGGTGTTTAAATAAAATAGGATAATTCATAGTAGAATTTTAGTCACGGTTAGTAATATTTGTTGAAATGTCAATTACTCTCTTGCAGTTTAAGGGTGGACGTCGGTATATTTAGCAAATACGTAGTGACTTCTAAAAAAATAGCATTATATAGTATTTCATATAGTTTTGACTACTACATCTCCTAATTACTTTGATTTAAGTTTGTTTAGCTGAACTAGTATTTGAATGTTGGATGTGGTAGTTGAAGGCTCCGAGAAGGCAGTGTTGTGATATATTACCTACTTCTTCCACTGGTGGCAAGATTATGGAAATTGGACTGCGAGAGTGCAAAGAGGATGAGCTCATCTTTATGCATCCCTAATTTCACCGTTAACCAAATTAATACATACTTTTTCGATATTACCAATCCCAAAACCAACAAATTAGTTTTAGTTATTTTGTATACAACTTTACACAATAAATATGTTGTTAATTAATTGGCTGGGTTGCCTTTCAGCTTTTGGGGCTTTGTAGTTACAACAAATTTTTTGATATATTTACCAGTCGTAACAATTTTTCTAGAGTATTCATCTCAAGGATGACTTACTCTATTACTAATACTAACTAACACATGTTCTTTTTTTCTTTCATGGATAAACCGGGTAATTTATTATGTGGAACCAAAACAAATTACACCGACAATAAACTTCTGACAAAACTTTTGATAGTCAACTGAAGAAATTGATTAAATGTAGGGTGAACCTGATGGAAAATGATATTAATCTCAAAATTAGGCTACCTACCTAATTACCCTTAGATTTAAATATATAAAGTTTGAGAATCTTATTTACTTCTATTACAATCTAAGAATCCAATTAGATTTCTTCTTTTTAATTAGTCTCTCACTTTTTACAGTTGTTTTTTTTTTTTTTTTTTTTTAATTTTGATAAGAATTTAAGGAAAAACAAAATTAAAATGCGACCGGATTGATGCGGACCAAAAAATTACAAAACCGGTTTAGTCGGTTAAAGCATAAATGGAAATGAAATGATTAATGGGTACTTTAATTAAGTAGCCTGTTAAATTAGCGTTAACCTTATAGAAGATAGCCTTGGTGGATTAGACGACTTTCCCACCGTGATACCTTCCTTGCCTTCATTCTTTAGGTAGTTTACTCTCTTTTGTCTCCATATTTGCGTGATCTCAATCTGTCAATCTTTATCTCCGCCCTCCCAAGCTCCTCAGAATTACTAAATCTGTCATCGCCTCCTCGATTCCGATGACGATAGAGCCGACGCAATCGCCGTCGTCGGAGACGGAGGTTCACTCTGGCGAGGACTTCGTTCACATCGATGACCCTAGGCCTACCGGCGATATGTCCTTAAGCGACAGCATAGTTAATGTGGAGAAGGACGAACTGCTCGACGAAGCGGTTGAGGAGGATTTTCAAGACTCTGATTCTGTTGTTGTTGCCGGCGGCGATGGAATCGGCGCTGGTGCGGATGCTGGTGATGGCGGCGAGTCTTCATCGGAGTCGGTTAAAGCGGAGCTACCTGATGAATTGGCCAAAAGCGTTGTGATTCTGACGTGCGAGTCCACAGCGGAAGGTGGATCTTGCGATGTCTACTTGGTTGGTACTGCTCATGTGTCAAAGGTATCCCATCCTCTTTCCAGTTCTCGTTTGTTTCTAAATTTGCGAAGGAGCTGTATTGGAATTGAACTAGGATTTGGTCACTACGGAATGATTCAGAGATTGCTGATTTTGGAGAAAGCTGAATTGCATGTGCAGATATTCAAGAAATCTAGTCTATTAGGGGGAATTAATGCTGGGACCTGTGTTTTTGGTTTTATCAGAACAGTTACCGAATGGAGTTATGGTTTAAATTTAGTAATTATTCTTCAGCTTCTGCAAAAAAATTACCAAATTCAGCAAGATAGGGTTTGCTTTGATTGTATAAGACAAGATAGGGGTTTCTTTGATTGTAGTTCTTTGTTTCAGATTAGACTATGATTCAATCATTTATTATGGATTTAATCCAAGTAAACCTTTGCGTGCAGCAATCCTGTCTTGAAGTTGAAGCAATAATCAGCATCTTGAAACCAGAGGTTCTTCCCTTTGAATGCTCGTCGAGTACTGAAGTTTAATATCTTTATGTCTATGCTCAGGTCTAAGCACCTTGTTGATACTGCAGGTTGTCTTCGTGGAGTTGTGTTCAAGCCGATTGTCTGTTCTCAAACCTCAGACTTTGAAGGTTTGCTATTTCACATTTGTGATTCTGCTTCTTCCTTCCTATTTGGTTTACTTCTTGGTATATTATGGCAATCTATCGTTATGGCAATCTATCGTTGTGTGAGACTCTGGAAAAGAATGTACATCAATGGTACTTCCTTAGGTAGAAGATGATTAATTTCGTTGGTGTCTCTGTCTATATTTATCATGATTAATGTTGCCAAAATTCCTTTACTAATCACAAAACAGAGGCTGCCTATTTTCTTAAATGAAGTTTCTATGATGCATGTATTTTACTAACTCTTTATGCTATGCTCTGTTGATGATTTATCACAGCTCCACTAACTTCTACACGATTCTAACCCTTTTGCTTATTCGGAAATGGTACTATATCTTGGTTTTCTAGATTCCAACCATGTCGGACATGATAGAAAGTTGGAAGCAGAAACAGAACACATTCGGAATACTATATGGATGGTTTCTTGCAAAGGCAGGTTTCTTTAATCATGACATTTTTTTCATGGAATCTATATTTTCTCAACCAAAAATTTACATCCTTTCCTTCTGTTAGATCGCCAGTCATCTTGAGGTTTTTCCTGGTGCTGAGTTTCGTGTGGCGTATGAAGAGGCAATTAAATACGGCGGCAAGGTGATACTTGGTGACCGTCCTGTACAGGTGATATGTTTGTCTTTAGTTTCAAAACGTTCTTTTAGCAATGTTATGCATCTTATAATGTCTCTTAACACTTTAATAGGTTTCTATTTGTCAAAAGCATTGTTCCAGTATAATCATTTGGTTTGTATTTGTTGAAGCAGATTACACTAAAAAGAACATGGGCCAAAATGCCTCTGTGGCACAAAGTAAAGTTTTTATATTCCATACTGTTTCAAGCTGTCTTCTTGCCCAGCTCTGAGGAACTCGAGAAAATGGTAAGTTTTAGTGTATTCTTTGTTCCCTTGTCTACACATGTAAATGAAATGTGATTTGTTGGAATGAGTATATCTTGATTCTGAATATCGATCGATGGTAAATTGAATTGGTTTCAGCTGAAAGATATGGACAATGTGGATATGGTGACTTTGGTGATTCAAGAAATGAGCAAGGAATTCCCAACTCTCATGGATACAATAGTGCATGAGAGAGACCAGTTAGTATTCTCGATTACCTCTATATGCTGTAGTTTATCAGATTTGTAAAGCTTGGTGTATCATGATATATTATCTGAAAACTTAAATAGAAATGCTGACATAGCCGAAATAGATAAAATTGAACGATCGTCAATTAACTTTCACATCCAAACTATCTCATGATACAAGAAACTTGCAGGTACATGGCATCGTCTTTGCTGAGAGTTGCAAGTGAGCATAGTTCGGTTGTGGCAGTTATTGGGAAAGGGCATATTAATGGAATCAAGAAAAATTGGAAGCAACCTATAACGGTTTGATGTCGTTTCAAACTATGAATGAAGGAGCTTAATTTTGTTTTGGATTGTACTTTATTTTATTTTCATGGAAATTGCAGATGAACGATCTAATGGAGATACCGAGCGACAAGTCAGTGTTTACAGTAAAGAGGATAATATCGTCAGTGGCAATGGCAGTTGCAGGGACAGCTATAGTTTCGGGTATACTTCTTGCAAGAAGAAGATGAAAAAGATTGTGGTTGGTGCTGGTGCAGAGTTTTCTCTATATTCTCCTGAGAGCCATACGAAGGAATGATACAAACTCAAAAATAACTTTTACACCCGTTACTCTTTTTCTTTTTAGTTTTTTATTTTCTTTGTACGTTGGTTGATGAAAATAATGAAGCTTTCTTTTTGTTTTGGTCTTTCGGTATTTTTCTTTTTTGATAATTAGAAATTTAGAACTAAATCGAGTTGTTTGAGTTTGAGGCTTTGAGCTAGGGTGGGTGAAAAATACTCGTTATGTATTTTACGCGCATCCAAAACATTACAATGGCAATTTACAGACAACTGTAAAAGTTAAGAATACATTAAAATCAGTTAAATAAAAAACGCCAATGAAAACAATAAACAATCAACACATAAATAATAAAATAGAACATATTTACTTCAGTAATTTCTTCATATTTTTGGATACTTTGGAGTCTCGTTTGTAGATAACTCTATTCACAATATGACAAGGTTACTCAAACCAACTCAAGTGTCATGGTTCGTACTAGACAAACCAAGTATATACATATATAAAACACCAGTAATTTTATTTCACTTTATTGACGAAGTCTATAACAAAATCCATGCACACAAATCCCAAAAGGTTACATCACAATCATCATCCTTATTATTCTCACAACTACACCCAAAACTCCCAAATCTTTTACATTTTCACCCCTCAACTATTTGCAACGGAACATTGCCTCCTAACCACTCCCGCTGATCCCGTCTTGACATTGATCCGACCCATTTTCTCCATCGACTTGGCAAACTCAGAATAGAAACTTTCCACGGAACCCGTCAAGATCCGGTTTATGTTTGAGAGTGTCGTTGGGTTAGTGGTGAGAGCAGAGTCTGACTGAAACAGACCTCTACGCTTGAGAACTAGCTGGTAATAACTTAGATCAAATGTTTTGCGGCTCCCTGGATCCATCTCAACGATGGTCTTGTTATCGTTGAGGCTAGGACATTTCCTAGACTTGAGATTGGCTGCATATTCGCTGTCTAGGGCTGGATCTTGGTCTCCACGGCCCGTAAAATTGTATAGACGGTTTGTGAAAGACGAGCAGTGAGATACACCAATAGTATGAGCCCCTGTTATAAGAAAATTATTTCTTTTAACAATATTGGACGTTAAACTGTTTTACTACTAGCGTTGTAACATTATAAAATATTGTGTTATACAAAAAAAAAAAAAAAAAAAAAAAAATTATTCTTTAGTTGAAACCATTTTAGGTTTGGTAAATGTGAAAACGTTATTTTAATCATTTTTTTCTTTGTGAATTGTAAATGCATACGCTAACGCAAGATAACTATTTCTGATTTAGTTTACACGTGTTATTAAAAATCTTAAAACAAATATATATATTATCCATAATTTAATTCCTAGCAAGGTGTGCTTGTGTGGTAATTGGGTTAATAAGGCTTACCGGAGAGTAAGACAAGGTCCTTAAGATCGAGTCCTTGGTTTGCAAAAAGTGTCTGAAGATTGGTGAAATTACTGGTCGGAGGAGGAATGTTGGCTAATGCTTCCGATGCGTTCGATATCCTCCCATCTCTTCTCCCCGTCGGTACATTCCAGTTAGGTCCTCCCTACAACATACCAAAGGTCAAATTCATGTCAAGAAATACTAAGATTTGTAATTTACAAACATGTTTTTATGTGAAATTATGATGCTTACTGTGAAAACGATAGCGTCACGAGATGCTAGAGCGATGATATCAGCGCAAGAGACAATCCCAGGGCACTGAGCTTCAAGCACAGCTTTGATTGCGTCGATGAAGCCGAATCCTCGAACCGTTAGGTTAGGAGTTGCGTCTCTCTCTGCGTTTCCCGACGTCGAGTTTATAAGCACTGATCCATCACATCCCTACAATATTCACATGTACGTATCTCCATCATTTAATCAATTCCGTCGCTATAATTCAGAATGTTCCATAATATAAAGAGAGCAAAAAAAAAAGAGAGAGAGAAAAGAAGAGTTTACTCGGACGAAACAATCATGGAAATGCATCCTAATGAGAGCAGCAGCAAGAGAAGGAGCATTAGAAATATGGTTGGAAACAAAGTCCTGAACAATCTTTTCGGCGTTAGGACAAGTATTGGCATAGAAGTTCATTTGCAACTGAGCTTGGATCGGTCCGACCATTCCCACAAGAAAGAGAGAGAGTGAGAGGGCAATAGCTCTCAAGCAGTTCATCTTTAAAGCTGTGGTGGTTTATTTTTCGCAAGACACAAATGTCTTTTTGGGAGGACTATGTTCACTGTGTTGTATTGTTGTGTGTGGTCTATTGAGACGTCAAAAGAGGGTTTATATAGAAAGGTTCTGCTGGGTTGGTTGTGTAGCTGGGTCCATTCAAGCTAACTAACATGTGCACTCTCTTATGAGTTGTATATTATTTTGCTCTTGTTATATTTCATTATTTTTCTCGGAATTACAAAATTTGAAAATTTAATTTCATAAATTACGAATATGGTTTTTTATAGTACTCTTACTAATGTATATATATATATATCATATTATCATGTTTAGCTTCAATTAGAGAAGTTGGAAGATGTTTTTACTCTCAAGTTAATTAAAGTTTACGTCTTTCCACTTATATATTTGTTTCTCCCATTACTTGTAACTTGTGTTTTAGTTCGTTTATGGAACTATTTTTACACAAGAAGGTAGCCAATGTGATTTTGTTTTAAGTTACAAAAGATTTGGGCATGACATATAGTCCAAAATACTCTCGCCATAATTCTTGGGTGGAAAGGGATGTAGTTTCCTCATTTTTCTCGTTTTTTTCTCTGTAAAATAAATATATTTCGATGACTATTTTGTTAAAACTCAAACCTCAAATCCTCAAACTAATAACTGTATTTACATATTTTATTTTATTTTGTCAACTGGGATAATAAAGTATTAGATATGTTAAAAGAGGGTAAATAGTTGGTCCTTAAATCAAGCCATGGGTAAGTTGGTAACATAGAACGTCTCAGTAAACTTATTTGATTCTTTTTCGAATTTGAGCGTTATGATGTCATAATCAACAGCAAAAAAAAGTCTAGCTAAGAGTAAGTTAAAGTAAGTAACATAGAGAGCTAAACTTAATTAATTGTGTTGAGCGTTGTGATGTCATAATCAACACCAAAAACTAAAAGTTATACATCATAAGTGAGATTCTATGACACTTTAATTTTTTAGGTTATTGATCAGAACACGACTAATTGGTTTCTTTTTTGTCACGAGTACTGGAATTCGTAAAATCTTGAATATTCTGATGAATTTTTGGGTGGATGAAAACGTATATAATGATAGTTGAGCAATCGCCTCGAGATATAAAGCAATTTTTAACTAAAGAACAACTAGTTTTGTGATATCCACTGATCATTCTTTATTCTAAAATTACAAGTATCCCGACCTAATCCCTAATAGTACAACTAGTAGAAACCGCAAACGAACAGTTACAAACGGGCAAGAAAGTATTCCAATAATTTTATCGTTGTCTATAGTTTTCTAGTTCATTAAGGTATAGAAGTACGCACATAATTAAAGATTATAGTTAAGGGATTTGGTAGGAAATCGATCTCATATGCTATGATATCATATGTTACTTACACATACACATAAAAAAAATGATAGTATAAATCATGACCGACGACACAAAAGAATCCCAACGCGTATAACGAATATATATATATATATATATCACAACGGATAGTTTTATTAAAAGTTTGTTGTTTGTCCTACATGGTTTGTTTCTTATACCTTGAGCCTAATCTTTGTTTGTAACATGCGATATTTGAAAAGTTTTTTTTATTATAAGGAGAAGTAGAAAACAAAATAGAATTCTCACACAACTGCTCTACAGAATTGAATTATCTAAATAAACCTGACGATCGAAGGGCATGAATAAAAGTTTCAACTGCTCACGGATCGGAGTAGCGTTTCGTCATATTACCACGCCAATTTATTCTTCAAGTCGGTCGAACGTTGGCATCTTCTGATAAACTCACACATGTGAACTTTATATTGTTTGTAGATAATTCTTGAGAGAAGAAACTTGTAGTAGATATTTTATCAGACAAGATAAGGATATTAGACAAGAATTAGCATTATACATTTTCTTTTTATTGTTTGTCTCATTTTTTTGTGTGACTGAATTAACTTGAATATGCTCATTTGCTAAAGACTAAACTTTAAAAAGTAGATTGGTTCCAGAAAATCTCTGAAAAAGTATCTATGGTTTTGTCTTTCATGTTTTCAGTTTGATTGACAAAACTCAATTTTGTATCTATATTTTGCGTTTTCACTTAGTATTAACGTGTTTATTATGTTTGCATTTCACGTTCACTATTCTATATACCTAATTAATTAGCTCTAAAGATGATAATTCTTGGAACATAAAAGATAATGCAGCCGGCAGACCAAAAGACGAACGTGTGTTCCACACATGTCAACGAATTGTTTTATGTTCATGTTTTTAAGTATTTAGAGCCGATGACTATGAATAACTCGGATTTGGTTAAACAATTGATTTAAATATAAACACTTGTTTTCAGTAGAATACTGCCCTCTTTTTATAATCTGTATAACCAAAACAGAGCTTTCATTCCCCAATCGAGATTACAAGTTGTGCAGGCAAGCTTCTAATAGTCAATAGCTTTCTCAAGGAGAAAACAAAAAGAAAGATCCTTTTAATAATTCTTAAAAGTTTCTGTTCCAAGGGAGTTTTATTTTTATATTAAATTACCCTCCAAGAAACAGAAAGATCGTGGAAGCCCTGCAATGTCCTCTGTTTTCAAACCTAATTAAAAAAAACAGAGGAGTACTGCAAATGTGTTTACTTTAATCTCATTTGACATTTTCTCTCTATGGACATTTTCAATGTCTTTGGATAATCTATAAAAGGACTGAGAATGTCTCCTTCACCTTCATCTCCAAACTGTTTTCTCACCTTTCTTGGCTGTCACTCAACAAAGCAAAGAGAGACAGTAATGGCGACCAAAAACCTTCTCGCCCTTGTGGTTCTTCTTAGCGTCCTTGGAGTCTCTGTTGCCATTCCAAGGTTTAGGCTTGACCTCGACTACTACCGGTCTAAGTGTCCGGACACAGAGCGCATTGTCCGCCGTGTCACAGAACAATATGTTTCTCGCAAACCAAGTCTCGCCGCTGCGCTTTTAAATACAATAATTAGGATTGGTAGCACAAGGTCGATTCATATAAACTGTAGGGCCCATTAAAACGAAGCCTATTTTCAAGCCTATCGAACCTCCCTTTCCACGTATATAAATATATCGGCGGACCATATTTTATTTTTCTTCAGTCAGGAATTTCGAAACCCTAGCCGTCGTAGTCGAATTCGAGATCCAACCAAGCCTGCTTATCTCTAAGGTAATCTCTCTGCTGATCTCACTGTTGCTTAGAAAATTCATCGGCAACCATTACCGCCATGTTCCTTTAGTTTTGAAAACTTTGATTTTTTTTTTGGTTAGGGTTTTCCAAGAGTCGTCTTGAATGATGACGAAGCCTACGCAAGAGGAGGCCGTGGCTGTAACAAAGGTATTTTGGGACATCAATAAGTGTCCGGTTCCCTCTGGCTGTGATCCTCATCGGGTCCGTCCGTGTATTAAACTGCTTCTGGAGAAGAATGGCTACCGTGGTCCTCTCACCGTCACTGCCTTTGGCAAACTTGCGGACGTTCCTATTGATATGCTGAGAGAAGTCTTTTCCAGTGGAGTCGATCTTCTCCTTGTCCCTTACGGTTAATATATTCTCATTCTTGTGCTTTTCTCTACAGTAATGGATGATGAAAAAGTTATTGTATCAACTTTTTTTTTTTTTTTCTCATAGGTACCTTAGACATTATGCGTCTAATTGATATCACCGAGAGAAATCCACCGCCAGTTAATTTTATGGTCATATCCGATCCAAAGGCCTGCCCTGATTTAACTCGGCTTCTACTATCATTGTCCTACAACCCTCTCCAGCCGTTTCCATATCATCATTCTATGGAAACCTTACTTAGTGAAGGTGCGTTTTTGTCATCCCTCACTTTGTTGTTGAATTATAAATAACCATTGCTTGATCAACTGACTACTTTTTCCCCCCCAAACATATTCAGGGGCACTTCCCACAGAAACGGCTGAATCTGTCTCTTGGGATTGCTTAGTATGCGCCCGTGACCCTCCTGGCCGAAGCTTTGATAGTTTCTTCACACATCTAGCTAGTGAAGAACATCATCAACTGCAGGTAATCAAGCATGTACATTTTGTCTTGTCATTATTTCAATTGTTTCAAACACCCTACTCCCTAGATTTGACCTCTTGTTCATTTGTTGTTGCTTCAGTTGTCGAAGCAGCTTAGGGCGCCTCCTAAGCCACCGGTTGTTACTTCCATGGTCAGTATCTACCAAAGTCCTGTTTTAATTTCAAAATTTATAGTTTTGTTCACCAAAGTTTGACCCCCCCCCATGTTTTCTTTTCTAGGTGCATTCTCCGGATAAAATCAATCTGGGCGATGCGCGTTCTCCGGATAAAATCAATCTGGGCGATGTGCATTTAAGTAGACTTGTAGAGGCACCCTTGCTTACCCAATCTGGGTATGATATGGTAGACTGGGAGGCTGTAAAGTCTGCGGGAAAGACAATTGTCTTTTGGCACATTAATTCCTGTCCTGTTCCCTTCGGCTTTAATCCTAGAATGCTTGGTCCGTGCATCAGACAGTTCTTGAAGAAAGAAGGCTGCCTTGGTCCTCTCTCCATCATTGCCATTGGAGTACTAACTCACGTCCCTGATTTCATTCTGTATGATGTCTTTTCCAGCGGAATCAGTCTTCATAATGTCCCCTATGGTTAGTATATTCTCGTCCTTAGGCCTTTCTACAGTATTTGATATTTTCCTTTATTAATAGAGAGAGTTTCAAAACTTTTTTTGAAACAGGTCCCTCAGACATTGAGAAACTAATTTATGACTATTGCTTTTGTACTGGACCTCGACTTAACATAATGGTCATATCCAATTGCACAAACTTTGCTTGTATGCCTGACTTTGTACAAAGGAGAATCAACCTACTGAAACCTTTTCCAAATGATTCTCTTCAGAGATTTATTCTGCCAGGTGTGTGTTTGTCCTCTCTTTGATTCTTGTTAAAAGAACCAACAGATACACTTTTCAACTGACTACTCTTTTTGTATTTCCACAGACGAAGAGTATCTTAAAGAGGATAATTGCAGTGAACATTCCTTATGGTTATGCTCACTATGCAGCAACAGGGATGCGACCACGTATTTCAGTTCTTTTCAACAAGGCTTTGAACCTTTTTCCCCATGTCTCAAATTTGGATGTTTCATCGACCATCTCTATGGTTTAGAACATGAACAGAAGGTAATCAGGCATTCTATCCAAACTGTAACAATTACTTGTTCATTTTGTCAAACAACCTCTTCATAAGTAGTTTACCTTTCTCACTTCGTACCCTTTGTTGTCTTTTTTTTTTTCTGACTGTGATTTCAAGCAGATGATGGAGCTGTGTCCCTTAAATGAGCAACTCCAACGCATGCGTGAACCATTAAGTGTGCCTCCTGAGAAAAACCCGATGGCTGTAACGGCTGTCTATTGGGACATCAAGTCGTGTCCGGTTCCACATGGCTGTGATCCTCGTCAGGTTGGTCCTTGGATTAACCAGTTCTTTGAGAATGAAGGCTACTGTGGTCCTCTAACCATCACTGCCATTGGCTCACTATCTGACATCCCTAAACACATCCTGGAAGGAGTCTATTCCGGTGGAGTCGCTCTTCATAACATATATGAAGGTTAAAATCTTTTCATCTTTCGCCTTTCTTAGTAATGGATGTTTTCCCTGCTGAACTAGAGAGTCTTCGTTTATGAAACAGGTTTTTCGGACATTATATATGATCTTGTTTGTACTTTCACTGACGAAAATCCTCCTCCTGCTAATATAATGGTCATCTCCGACTCAAATTTCTTTGCTTATGAGAAGGATTTAGTGTCAGAACTGAGTGGCTACAACCTGCTTCCATGTGATTCTTGCTTATTTATGGCAGGTTTGTGTTTTACTCTCTAACAGTAACTGAAAGAAATGTGCTACTGGCTAAATTCTGTTGGTCAACTAAGTGGCTACTTTTTCTTTTTGCACAAATTCAGGTGCACTTGAGGAGGATTATAAGTGCTGTTATGAAAAAAGTAAGTCTGCCTTCTGGATTTGCTCTATATGCGACGATATTTGGGGCCTAGGGTTTGAAAATTTCACCGCTCATGTTGCTAGTAGGCCACATCAACGGGAGGTAATCAAGCATCCTAGCCTACCCAGACGGACTTTTAGTATTAACATAATTTGTTTGCCCCCCCCCACCCCCCCCCCCTCCCTCTTATGCAGTTGTTGGACTATTTGCCTGGGTATGCCCGTTTTACTCGTAGAGAGTAACCTCTCAACCATGGCGACAAAGGCAAGTTATAACATCTTGGAGTTTGGGGCTTTCTTATTTAAAACTGAAATTGTTGTAGCCAAAGTGCGTATGGAAAACTTATGTAACAGATAAACAAAATGTTTTTGTTTTATTTATGTAGTTATGGAAAACTAAAATTAGAAAAAGTAAAGATTTCTTACTCATGGGTCGTAAATTAGACGATAAATTCTCTCTCTCACACGCTGTCGTTTTTAACGTTTCAGTGTTACAATCTTATATTACGAGAGTTACTTCTGATTAACTTCAACTGTTTTTGTTTGGTCGTGTTGATTTTTTTGAGACCGCAAGTAATGTATTGGGCTTTCGGCACAGAATCTCTAAAAGGACTCAAAAGGCATAAGTTAAGTTTTATTAGTGTGACCTAAAAACAGATTTATTCGCGGTACAAAAGGGGATATCTAGTTGACAACAACAAAAAAAAAAAAAAAGGAGATTTAGCAATAAACCCGGTTCTTCAAAACTGAGAATCCTTCGCAAATCGTGGAAGATACGTCGAAGCGAGGTGTTCCCCTAATGATTCCGCTATGATACTAAATGGTTAGAGTGTTAGTGTGTTTACCATTAATTTGGACGACTAAAAATCAAACCAAATTCTCGAATGATTGGTTTTCTCTTACCATTTGTCTCCTTGAGGTGTTTGTTAGCTCCAAGATGCCACTCGGGAGGATCTTGGAGGATCCATACTTGAGAAGGTTAGCTTCGAAGAATCCGTGGTAGAGAAATTTGGTTTCGTTTTGTTGACTTAGCACACAAGAAACGAGACATAGTTGGGTGATTATGGAAAGAGCTATTGATTTGTAAGTAATTGCCATTGAAGAGATGGACGTATGTTTTGTTATGTGAAGTTGCTTGTCTGAATGATTCTGTCGTATATATATAGAGAGAGAGGCTTCATAGAAGAAAAGAGAAAGAAAGTTAAACATTGTTATATTATTTGCAGAAAGGCAATCAGCTGCGAGTTCGAAACTTCACTTTTTATTAGCTATAAAATTGTTTGTATTGGATCAAAGAAATCATCAAAAAAATTTTAATTATTGAGAATCCATTTATTGTTTAATAAAGCTTATAAATTAAATATAAGTAATCAAACTGGACCCAATATAATTCCAAAAAGTCTATAATGTTGAACAGTTCAAGTCTTAGTTTAGCTGATCGATCGTGATGGTAAGTCTTAGATGGATATTAAAACATCCCATTATCCCAAACTAGCAAACAATAAAAGGGTTTTTGGGGAATATACGTGCAAGTGAAGAATCTATTATACATATATTTTGGTTCATATTATTAAACAAAAAGCAACAGAAGAAAATAATTGATCTGAGACAAGTCAAGTCATCACTTTTAAGTAATTAACAAATGTGTATAATCAACAACCGCCAAAATGTGAGTATTATTGAGATATAAAACTAATTAGAATGCAAATGACTAGGATCATCAGAACTCAGAAGGCCTTAGTACGTACGTGCACCCAACCAATCCAATCCAACCCCAAATCACACAAACAAACTGATAGAAAATACTATCATTGGCTAAGAACAAATTAATGGAAAAATCATGCCGTCTCTATATAGTTACGTCTTTCCCTTAATCTCTCTATACTGTATATAAATTTTGTCTTCCTTGTGACTTTTATATTTTAACTGTCAAAAAAATAATAATAAAAAATATATAAAGATACGGGCCTAAGATTCCTGATGGACCAGGCCCATCATCTTGAGGTTTAAAAAAAATAAAATTTGGACCACATATTGAGTTATCATCTCCAATGATTGATTGAATAATCAACTTAACGTTTGCTTGCTCCACTTGTATTCTCTTCTTCAATCTGAGTTCTTCAGGCGTAGGAGAGAGCAATGGCTGGAACAGAGCAAAACCAGAGATAATGCCTTAAGGGCAAGACCGCACTTGTAACTGGTGGAACCAAAGGGATCGGGTTCGTATACAGATCCTAAATCTTTCCATATATATTTTCTAGAAAGCATATTTAAAATTCTCTGATTTTTGAATCAAAATAGGCATGGTATAGTTGAGGAACTTGCGGGATTTGGAGCATTGATACATACTTGTGCGAGAGATGAATCTCAGCTTAATGAGTGTTTAAGTGAATGGAAAAAGAAGGGATTTCAAGTCACTGGTTCAGTCTGTGACGCATCTTTGAGAACAGAGAGAGATAACCTTATGCAGACTGTGTCTTCAGTGTTTGGTGGCAAGCTCGATATCCTCGTAAGTTAGATCTTTATTATATATACTCTTTTCTAAATTAATTACTCAAATCCTTGATTTAATGTAATCTTTGAATCATAATAAGATAAACAATGTTGGAGGGATTCGGGCAAAGCCGACAGTGGATTTTACAGCAGAGGATTTCTCGTTTCATTTTACGACCAACTTAGAGTCTGCTTTTCATCTGAGCCAGCTTGCACATCCTCTTCTCAAGAGTTCAGGATGTGGGAACATTGTGTTCATATCTTCTGCTGCTGGCATTTTATCGTTTACTGTAATTAGCTCCATCTACTCTGCAACAAAAGGTAATTATAGTAAAACTAACTATTGAAGAAAACAAAAACACCTATATGTGACTATTGAGACTATCAATAGAGGTTTCTTTTTTCTTACAATGGTTTTCACATGTAAATACAAAGCCATTAGCTGGTTCTTGAAACAATATTCTAAGGCATTGATATGTGTATGTGTGTGTGTGTGTGACATTAGCGGCGATGAATCAGCTAGCAAGGAATCTGGCATGTGAGTGGGCTAGTGATGGAATTAGGGCTAATGCTGTGGCTCCTGGAGTCATTGCGACTCCTCTAGCTGGAGAGGTGAGATACAAACTATATATGCTACGTTTCCTCCAAGACCCATCTCCCTTTCTTGCCTTTGCTGATATCTTTACTTTGATGATGATCTTTAGGTGTACGATGATGAGTTCAAGAAGGCGGTAGAGTCTAGAAAGCCATTGGGGCGTTTCGGGAAGCCTGAAGAAGTAGCCTCGGTGGTAGCTTTTCTATGTATGCCTGCAGCTTCTTACATAACTGGTCAGACCATTTGTGTAGATGGAGGTCTCACTGTCAATGGTTTCTCGTATCAGCCACAAGGTTAAATCCAATGTCCGAAACAACCAATAAACTCAACTTTGTTAAAATAAGTTTCAGTGTCGAGACTTGGCACGTAAGAACTCTTTTCATCTGCAAGAAGGCATCTAAAGTATATGAGGCTATGACCCATAGAATCTTATTGTATGTTTAATTTCTAGCTCCATATTATATTTGATCTCATCTAAATAATATAAATTCAGGACCTTAAATAATTAACCTGTGTCACCCAAATAATTAACAACAGTGATACAAACGAGAATGATCACTAGTATTTAAATATGTAAAATAAAATAAAAGTGGTATTTTATCAGACAAGAAACTTGTGGATATTTTATCAGACAAGATAAGGATATTTGACAAGAACCAGCATTATACATTTTCTTTATATTGTTTGTCTCATTTTTATTGTTTTATCAAAAATATGCTAAATTTTTACAAAAGAAAATATATAGACATATAAGAAATTTTACTTAAAAAAATTGCTAGACATTATATCTTCTTTTTACCTTTTACTGATTGTGGGAATCTATATTATTGTCTGGGTTTTTAAAAAATCGATTTTTTTTTTATTTTTTTTTTGTATGTGACTGTATTAACTTGGATATGCTAATTTGCTAAGGACTAAAACATTGGAAATTATATTGTCTTTCATGTTTTCAGTTTGATTGACAAAACTCAAATTTGTGTCTATATTTTGCGCTTGCGCTTGCACATAGTGTTAATGTGTTTATTATGTTTGCATTTCACGTTCATTATTCTATATTCCTAATTAATTAGCTCTAAAGATGATAATACTTGGAGCATAAAAGATAATGCAGCCGGCAGACCAAAAGACGAACGTGTGTTCCACACATGTCAACGAATTGTTTTATGTTTATGTTTTAAAGTATTTAGAGCTGATGACAATGAATACCTCAGATTTGGTTAAACAATTGATTTAAATTTAAACACTTGTTTTCAGTAGAATACTGCCCTCTTTTTATAATCTGTATAACCAAAAAAACAGAGTTTTCATTCCCCAATCGAGTTTACAAGTTGTGCAGACATGCTTCTAATAGTCAATAGCTTTCTCAAGGAGAAAACCAAAAGAAAGATCCTTTTAATAATTCTTAATAGTTTCTGTTCCAAGGGAGTTTTATTTTTATATTAAATTAGCCTCCAAGAAACAGAAAGATCGTGGAGGCCCTGCAATGTCCTCTGTTTTTCAAACCTAATTTAAAAAACAGAGGAGTACTGCAAATGTGTTTACTTTAATCTCATTTGACATTTTCTCTCTATGGACATTTTCAATGTCTTTGGATAATCTATAAAAGGACTGAGAATGTCTCCTTCACCTTCATCTCCAAACTGTTTTCTCACCTTTCTTGGCTGTCACTCAACAAAGCAAAGAGAGACAGTAATGGCGACCAAAAACCTTCTCGCCCTTGTGGTTCTTCTTAGCGTCCTTGGAGTCTCTGTTGCCATTCCAAGGTTTAGGCTTGACCTCGACTACTACCGGTCTAAGTGTCCGGACACAGAGCGCATTGTCCGCCGTGTCACAGAACAATATGTTTCTCGCAAACCAAGCCTCGCCGCTGCGCTTTTAAGGATATATTTTCATGACTGTTTCGTCAGAGTAAGCTAGCTTCACTTATTCTGCAAGACTGTGACAATAAATACATAAAACTAGTCCTAACTCTTTTTTTTTTACGATTCATGCAGGGATGTGATGGCTCCATTCTTCTCAAGTCTCCAAACAATGATGCGGAAAGAAATGCAATTCCCAACCTGTCCCTGAGAGGCTATGAAGTTGTTGATGCAGCCAAGTCAGCGCTCGAGAAGAGGTGTCCGGGTATCGTTTCTTGCGCTGATGTTCTTGCCTTGGTCGCCAGAGATGCAGTCTTAGTGGTATAATATTTTCTCATTGGACTGATTTTGTCATTCCAAAAACCTATAAAGTACTTTAGTATACAATTTCTTATTGTTGCCTTTTAACAGATCAGGGGACCATGGTGGCCAGTTCCATTGGGGCGCAGGGATGGACGCATCTCGAGAGTTTCCGACGCAAACGCAAACTTACCATCCCCTTTCGCCAACATAACCACGTTGAAGAAGAACTTTGCTGACAAGGGTCTCAACGCTAAAGACCTTGTCGTTCTCTCAGGTACTTATCTACAGTAAAACCTTAATAAGTGCAATATCAAAAGCTAGAAACTTGAAAGTTCAAAGCTGAATAAAAACTGGTTTCTGTTGAGCAGGGGCTCACACCATCGGGATCTCTACTTGCGCTCTCGTCAACAGACGTATATACAACTTCACAGGCAGAGGCGATTTTGACCCGTCGATGAACCCAAGCTACGTGAGGACATTGAAGAAAAGGTGCAAGCCCAATGATTTCAAATCCATAGTGGACATGGACCCAGGCAGTGTGAAGAGATTTGACTCTCACTACTTTAACGTGGTGGCTCAGAAGAAAGGGCTCTTCACATCTGACTCTACCCTTCTCGATGACTTTGAGACCAGACATTACGTTGAGATTCAGGCCTTGACTAATGGGATTTCTTTCAATAGAGATTTCTCAGAGTCGATGTTCAAACTTGGTTTTGTCGAAATTCTCACAGGGAGAAACGGTGAGATCAGGAGGAAATGTGCTTTCGTTAACTAATTTGGATCGTGATCGATCGACGGTTATTATCTTCTTTCTTGCATGGAAAGTTTCTTTGTTTGAGTTTTTTGGTGTTGTGTTCTGTTTCTTTCTTCCCTGAATAATTGTAAAATCTATCAAGTAAACTAACATGTATTCTTTAATGTTTGTGATGGAAAAAAATGTGATTCAGAGTTTTGAATTGAGTAGTACTATTTAACTAATTGGTTTAATCGATCCAGAACGAAACCATACAAAAATAATATGTGCTAAATTTTTTTTTTTTTTATATTTATAATATTTATTTATAAAATTCGAATAAACCCAAATAGCCTGGGCCAGGCCTTACACGATTGTGATCCATTAAGCAAAGAAAATCGGAAAAAACTAACGGTGAAAAAAGAGAACTCGGATCCTGTTGATCGCCGGAGGCAGAGTGACCGGAGCCTGAGATCCGGCGGGCTCAAGAATCACAGCTTTGCGGCCACGACGAAGGATCGAAAACCATGGACGAAAGAGACCGGTTTCCATCTTTGATCCCTTTCCTCCGCCGCACCAGACCCACCACAAGTCTCCCGGAAAGCTAGTCACCCCGACAACACGGTTCCACGGTGGCAGATCCCAACCTAGCAATCCGCCACTCTCAGATCTAACCTTCTCTTTCCTTCACCGCAGTTTACCGAGATCCGAGCAAACTCTTCCTCGATCTGGACGGAGAGATACCAAACACGGCAAAAACAGAAAGCGGCGGCTCAAACCAAACCATCTGCAACCAATAACCCGCATCAGCCATCTAAGATCATACAGATCTACCGCTAACTCCCACATCAAAACGCGAAACCCTCCTAACCCCCACCGATTTCCGCCGTTGTCCCAGCTCATAGAAGAGGCGACTGAGCCAAGAAGAACTCTGAAGCATCCCCGCCGTCTTCAAAAACGGGAACCACCGCTACAAAGAACTCCAATCGCACCACCACAGCCACGACAACATCGAAGGGGCTACCACACCACCGCAGACAGAGAAGAGGAGCTGCTCACCCATGGATCTCAATCGATTGACCTTGGCCAAAGATGAAGCACTGATCGGAAAAAAGGAAGGAAGAATAAAACTCTAGATCTAAAATTTGCCCACAAGAGAAAGAGAAGCGCTAATACCAATGCAACGATTGTGCTTCTGTGATTGCTTTGTTAATTAAATATCAATTCGCTAAATTCATATACCTTTGTACATATAATTGCCGCGTGGGAAAGGTGGTCTCTGTTTCTCGAAGGTGTCTTTTCTCTGACGTTGATATCCTCGCACGTGCCTCACGTGGACCAGCTGAAGAAAGCTTCTCAACCCTCCAAGTCATCAATGTTGTCGCTCCTCGTTCAGATCACTCGGCTACCGAGTTAATTTGAGATTTAGCCAAAACCATTGATTTGAGCCCCCAACGGGAACTCATTCGTCATGATGATTTTTTTTTGTTTTTTTAATGATTTAGTAGAAAAAGGATTATGTTTCTAAAAGAAAGAAGAAGAAACCATATTTACTTTTAAAAAAGGAAATTTTCTTTTTATAGTTTTAGAAATAAAAGGAAAACACTCAAACAAAAAAAATGGAAATTTCCTTTTTATATTTTTAGAAATAAAGGAAATAACTCAAACCCAAAAAAATGGAAATTTCCTTTTCTATTAGTTTATTTGGACTGCAAAAAATAAATTGTTTTGTTTTGTTTAATCTCAGGGGAGACGAGAAAGTGGGAAGAATAGACTTTGAGGACATACTGAGTGCTGGAACCTTCTCTTCTCCTCTGCTTTACTCGTAGGTCGAAACAGAGGAATTATATAAAAGTGCACTGATGATGACTTATTAGCTTATGAAGTAGAACAAGTTATTATGGCTTCAGTGCCACAAAAAGAAATTGTCTTTTAACAATTTAACGTTTATTAGACTTCAAAACAAATCATACAAAGGAAACTCTGTCTGAAATCAACAGACTTGGAGGAAAAGAAAGGAAAAAAAAAAACATACAAAAGGAAGGATAAGTGATGGAATCAAATCATCGAAAGAGGTTTCAGTTTTGTTTAGATCGAAACTCAGTTAGGGAAGGCGCATCTCCTCCTGATCTCACCCTTTTTCCCGGTGAGGATTTCGACCAAACCGAGTTTGACCATTGAGTCCGAGAAATCTTTAGCGAAAGAAGACCCACCAGTAGCAACCTGTCTCTCTATGTAGCTTTTGGTCTCTGGATCATCGAGGAGTGTTGAGTCAGATGTGAACAGACCCTTCTTTTGAGCCACAATGTTGAAGTAGTGAGAGTCAAACTTCTTGACACTGCCCGGGTCCATCTCCACTGAGCTCCTGAAATCAGTAGGCTTGCACCTTTTCTTCAATGTCCTCACGTAGCTTGGGTTCATCGACGGGTCAAAATCGCCTTTGCCTGTGAAGTTGTAGATACGGCTGTTGATGAGACCGCAGTTAGAGATTCCAATGGTGTGACCCCCTGATCAAGAAACCGTTTTTATTTGTTCAGCTTGGTGACATCAAGTTGATAGCTTTTAGCTTGCACTTAAAAAGTGTTTTTAAAAGTATATACCTGAAAGAACGACAAGGTCTTTAGTGTTTAGGCCCTTGACGAGGAAGTTTTGCTTCAGTGCAGCAATTCCGGCGAAAGGGGATGGTAGATTAGCCTCAGAGAGTCTTGAGATGCGACCATCCCTACGACCCAATGGAACAGGCCACCATGGTCCGTTGATCTGTACAAAAAAAGCAACAAAAATAAGTTTTAGTTCAAGTTTCATTGGCTTTAGAATGAGAAGAATCAGTCCATTATGAAATGTTACGTACCACTAAGACGGCGTCTCTGGCGACTAAGGAGAGAACATCAGCGCAGGAAACCACACCGGGACACTTCTTCTCGAGGGCTGATTTAGCGGCATCGACCACTTCATAGCCTCTCAGGGACAGGTTGGGGATAGCGTTTCTTTCCGCATCATTGTTTAGAGATTTCAGAAGAATGGAACCATCACATCCCTACATGAACCAGCAAAGTATAGTTAACGTCTTTTTCATATATATATATATATTTCAGTATAGTCCCAAAGAAGCAAAACTTACTCTGACGAAACAATCATGAAAATGCATCCTTAGAAGCCCGGCAGCAAGACTCGGCTTCCGAGAAACATATTGAACTGTGACACGACGGACAATGGCTTCTGCGTCAGGACACCTGTGTTTGTAGTAGTCAAGGTGAAGGCCTTTTTGAGCGACTGAAACTCCAAAAACGCTGAGAAGAACCACAAGAGCAAGAATGTTCTTAATCGCCATTACTGCCTCCCTCTTTTCTTAGCTTGTTAGCTCTATTGAGTGTTAGCCAAGAAAGGTCAGAGCAGCTTAGAGATGAAGATGAAGGAGACAATCTCAGGCCTTTTATAGATCATTCAGAGACATTGAAAATGTCCATGGAGAAATGTCAAGTGGCATTTAGATAAGCCCATTTGCAGTAACCCTCTGTTTCTTAATTAGGTCTGAAGAACAGAGGAGGTCGAGGAGGACATTGCAGGGTCTCCACTATCTTTTTGATCTCTGCTGGTAGTTGAATATAAAATTTCCCAAAAACTCAAAATCATGCAACGATTATGAAAGCTTCAAATCCTCTTTTGCTCTATGAAAGGCTATTGACTTTGGACAACATGTAGTTTAGGGGACTTGTTTTATTGGTCCTTAGCTCTCCAAGTTTTTTAAAATGTAAATTAAACTGTTGCAGTATGTGGAATCCACGTTCGTGCATTCTCATAGCAAACCATGCAAGTTGCTAATTTTAGTAATTGGATATTACAATGCACTGTCAGTTTCTGGTGGAACAAGTAACGACCTAAAGACTATTACAAATCAACATTGAACCAATATTAAACTCGTGAAATGACATACTCATCAACGAACCTCTCGTCGCTCTTCTTAAAACATAGGACAGGCCTAAAGTGTATGTATACAAGTCATACGGCCCATCTATGAAAAAGTTGAAATTACAATTTTGAAAAGATTCAGTAGTAATATTTTCTAGAAAATGAAATATTATTTCCGTCTTTATAAGCAAGAGAAAACTCAAATGTTTTTTAAAAAAATAATAATAATAAACTCTCTCTTTTTTTTTTTTTTGTTAACAAGAAAACTCAAAAAATGTTAGGCGTTGAATGAAATATTAGTGTTTCATATAGAAGAGAGTAATAGCACAGTACACAAGTAATAAGGAGGGAGGGGAGGTTAAAGTGCAAGAGAGGCATGAGAGCAGTAAATGGCCTAAGAAAAAGCCATGCAGCCTCTGTGTAAACATTTAATGCGTCCAAACTATTCGCCACCCTATCACATACGTACATATATGTATAATTCTATATGTACATACATGATATTACTACTTGAATAAAATTTAAAAAAAATAGAAAGTTTTTTAAGACAATTTTAATTATTTATTAATCTTGACAAGTATAATAAACTTATGGAATAGCGACGTTAAAATAATACGCAGTATATTTCTATATCTTGGCGTGATAAAAGTACGTATGAATGAACGACTTTTACAAATAATCACTTTTTTTATATATATGGGTGATCCGTAATTTAATTAAACAGCTTAATTACACGTTATAGTTATAAATGCCTGGGCCACGAACTAACTAAACGTATGTAGTTAAAGTAAAGTGAGAAGTCTTTTTGTGTAAAAAGTGGAGTCTTGTTCCTTTTTTTGACAACTTTTTAAGTTATGTTATTTTAGGTAAACAAAAAAAATTGAAATGTGTTAAAATTGAAAAATTTGGGCCAAACTTATAAGAATAATATACAATATTAATTTATGTAATATTTAAGAAAATGCCATGGGGAGAGTAACATGGATAATTTTCATTCTATTTTTTTTATTTTGTACTTAATTAGAACAATCCAAATTAAATCTATTCAATAATAATAATAATAATAATAATAATAAATATGCAATGATTATATATATATAAATCAAAAGATAAAGACTACAAAAATCATATATAGCAAGAAATTATAAGTCAACAAAAAGATTCTTTATAAAAATTTCCTAAATAAATAATAATATTAAGAGCACTAAAAATTAATAAAATTTTGAGAAAAACATAGATTCTATTCCATTTATATGTGGACTATTTTCTTAAGAAAAATCTTTAAATGAAGAATGACATTTATTACTGGGATATATAAGCAAATCTGAAATTTAATTAATTTTGTTAAGTTTATAATATATTAGAACTTAACAAAACTATACATTACATAAACTAATCAACATAAATTATATAGGTTTCTCTATATATGATCAAAGCAACAAATACATAATTTTGTAACATATAACTATATAAGTATATATCTCTCAGCTCTATCTCTCTCTATCTATACGAGCGTGTAGGAAGGGATAATAAAGAGTCCCCTCTCTCTCTCTCTCTCTCACACCATTTAATTTCATTGCACCCTCTCAATTCTCTCTGCCATTACTCTCCCCTCTTTTTCTCCTCCAAGATTTTGCACCTACCTTTCAAACTCTTCGCTCGCCAACAAACCGCTTCACTACCAAGACCATCAGCGGTTTTCCGATCACAAATCTCTCAGACCAGACGACGTCACTGTCCGCTCCACCACCTTCTCCCTTTTAGTGTTGTTGTTTCATTGCTTCGTCCTCTCAGTGTATGTCTCGAAACCTCATCGTTTCTTGTGTTTCTCATTAATTCTATTAAATATTATTATTATTTTTTTTGTTTAATGTATTGGATCATATTACACTTAAAAAATTTCTTAGCTAGCTTCTTCATTAAAAAAACTCTCACTTTCATGATGATGGTGATTGTATATTAATCGAACATATCGCCTGTGTTGAATTTTCATTCTTGAATATTACAATTGATTTATCTTATCATGATTTCTGCATATATAGGCAGAGATGAAACCCTCGAGACAACAATAAAGAGAGGATCGAAGATTAAATTACAAGCTAAGGTATGCATTCTCTTCGTATTTTCATCATTCTTTTTTCACTCTATACGTTTTTTTATTATTATTATATAAACACGTGATATACTTTATCCAGATTTATATATGTTTATTTGTGAAATTATAAAAAACGTTTTAACTACGATGATAATTTATGCTAAAAAAAGATAGCTGGGAAAATTTAATACATTTTTCCAGGCCTTATCTCACGTTTGGTTGTAAGTTGTATCTATATTAACTGTATGTTGGTCCGTCGCACCGTGCACTGATCATATAATTAACATTTTTTTCCATTTCGGTTTTTCTTTTTTAATCATAAAAAACGATTAGGTTACACTTTTTTTCCTGGAGGATGTTTACATATATTTGAAAATTTGCTAATGATTACGATATATGTTAATTACGATTTTTTTTTTTCTGTTTTCAAGAAAGTATTGTTTCTTTTCAATAAACGGGATAGAGTTGGGAATTTATTTGTACCTACTTTTTGCCCATTTTATTATCTGCTTCGAGCAAATGAGTCCAACGTTTCTCTTTTCGTCTTCTCTTCCATCCCCTCCCATCAAAATCAAAACTGATCAATACCTCGAAACTTTAATTAAAATTATTATCCATCAAAGTTCTTATAGTGTATTAAGGTCTTTTGAGACATCAAGTTATTATTTTCATCTACACTTATATATATATATATATATATATATATATATATATATATATATATATATATGTTTTTCGAATCAACTTAAAAGATTTCATTGTAGTAGACTGTTTGTTAGTTGATTTTTACTTTTGAAAGGGGAAAATTTTGAATAATTCGGAGTAAGCGAAATTCATTATTTTATTGGGTTGGTTATTTAATAACTTATAAATACATGATTGTGATGTTTTATAATTTTGCAAGGCTCTTTTTTTCCTTGCTTTCAATTAGTGGGTCCTTAATTTGTTTCCTACAATCATCTCCAATTTCTTCGTCTTTTCTTTTCCATTAGCTTATTATATCGATCCTTTTTGTAAGATCTTCAAGAAGAAAAGAAAGATTCAAGTTATATGTTTTGTTCATATAAAAAAAAAAAAAGTTGAAAAGTTGTTGACGTGTAAAAAGTATTGCCATAATTTGTTCAGCCCTTGGAGAAATTTCTCTTTTCTTCTTGGCTCTAGCTCGTAGTACCCAAGAACAAACCCTAAATTTTGGTACTCCTCTTTTTTTGTTTTTGGTTTTTAGGGTTTTTGGTTTCAGTCTGCAGTGTATAAGAGAAAAGATGTTCGAGCCAAATATGTTGCTCGCGGCTATGAACAACGCGGATAGCAATAATCACAACTACAACCACCATGAAGACAATAACAATGAAGGGTTTCTTAGGGACGATGAATTCGACAGTGCCAATACCAAATCCGGAAGTGAGAATCAAGAAGGAGGATCAGGAAACGATCAAGATCCTCTTCATCCTAACAAGAAGAAACGTTATCATCGTCACACCCAACTTCAGATCCAGGAGATGGAAGCGTATGCATATCAATTAACTCACTCGCTTCAATCTTCTTGATTTCTTTTTCTTTTTTTTTTGACAGTTGTGTGTGTTTGGTTGTTGAATAGATTCTTCAAAGAGTGTCCTCACCCAGATGACAAGCAAAGGAAACAGCTAAGCCGTGAACTGGGGTTGGAACCTCTTCAAGTCAAATTCTGGTTCCAAAACAAACGTACCCAAATGAAGGTATGTACTTTATATTATCAACACATGTATAAATTTATGGATCTATTTATATTAGAGAAAATATATATACTTGTTGAATTATTATTATCCATTCGTATTGAAGTTAAGGGCTTATGTTTATACTTAGACCTATGCATCTGATCTCTCAATCACACTCGTGACAATTTTTGGATGGATGGTGTTTCATTTAGAATTTATTCATTGACTTTGGTGGTTTATTTGGCAGATTTCTAGATCTAGTTAATACAATTGACTTATTTTTCTTACTTTTCTTCCAGATATATATATTTTTTTTTCAATTGAAAAGTTGTTGTTTGGCAGAACTATGTTTTTGGCGGATCAAGCCATAGAATTATTGTTAGGTTGAAACAATAAGTTAGAGCCATATATAGGAGGACTGAAACGTTTTGGACATATATGCTTACGTTATGCAAATACGGTGAAACACATATAACGCGTACACAAGTGTATAATGTGTGTGTACAAATATAATTCCCCACTTTTTTTTATAAGTAAAATCCTTTGTTGCTTCAATTTACCTAAATAACAAACGTCGGTTTGTAAAGAACTAAAAGATTTATTCGTGCAGAATCATCACGAGCGGCATGAGAACTCGCATCTTCGGGCGGAGAACGAAAAGCTTAGAAGCGACAACCTTAGATATCGAGAGGCTCTCGCAAATGCTTCGTGTCCTAATTGTGGTGGTCCGACGGCTATCGGAGAAATGTCTTTCGACGAGCACCAACTCCGTCTTGAAAATGCTCGATTAAGGGAAGAGGTATGTCAACTTGTTAAATACAGTAATTAATTAACCTTCCGAACGTAATCTTTTATTTGATCTTATCAGTCCTGTAATGTTTAATGCACTTTATAATGTTAGAACTTTGAAGCATGTTTTGTTCTGCTTTTTTATTTATTTTTAAGACTTAAATTATAAAAATATATAAATAGAGTAAAGTCGTGAAAAATTCATATTACATTGCTTTCCATATGTCAGTTCATTCTATTTAATATACTATTTAATAATCAAATGATAAATCTTATATAATTTTCCTATCTGATAATTTAAAACGCATTTTTTCGTATTGAAAGACTAGAAAAAGACAATCATTAATGAAATAAATAAAGATACTAAAACGACATATGAAAGTAAGCAAAATTCCTTCCATTTCATCAAATTATATGGTTTCGTATTTTCTACACTAAATCTGTCCACACTTTCTATGAAACATCAATGTTAATCAAATTTTATTTATATTGACATGAATTGGTAAAAGTAAATTAACAAACTTTAATTAAATACTACTTTTTACAAAAGAATTATATTTGTGAACCAAAAAAAAATAATAATAATAAAACATAACTTGAAAGAAACGTAAGGAGTAACTAACAACTCTTTATCTTGTTTTGTCTGTGTAGATCGACCGTATATCAGCGATTGCAGCGAAATACGTAGGCAAGCCAGTCTCAAACTATCCTCTTATGTCTCCTCCTCCTCTTCCTCCACGTCCTCTAGAACTCGCCATGGGAAATATCGGAGGAGAAGCCTATGGAAACAATCCAACCGATCTCCTCAAGTCCATCACTACACCAACCGAAGCTGATAAACCGGTCATCATCGACTTAGCTGTGGCTGCAATGGAAGAGCTCATGCGGATGGCTCAAGTGGACGATCCAATGTGGAAGAGTTTGGTTCTAGACGATGAAGAGTATGCTCGGACGTTTCCTAGAGGGATAGGACCTAGACCTGCTGGATTTAGATCCGAAGCTTCCCGAGAAACCGCTGTTGTGATCATGAATCATGTTAACATCGTTGAGATTCTCATGGATGTGGTAATATAATTAACCTTTTCATTTCGCATATTTTTTAAATGTAATCTTCTCTACTGAAGAGTTTTGATGTTGTTGCATGGATATATATATGATGTTGCAGAATCAATGGTCTACGATTTTCGCGGGGATGGTTTCTAGAGCGATGACTTTAGCGGTTTTATCTACTGGAGTTGCAGGAAACTTCAATGGAGCTCTTCAAGTGGTAGGTTTTTTTTTTTGTTTTTTTTCCTTTCTATCTGTAAACATTGTACTTGGAACTGAATTAAACCCTCTGTTTTGCAGATGACTGCAGAGTTTCAAGTTCCATCTCCATTAGTCCCGACTCGTGAAACTTATTTCGCACGTTACTGTAAACAACAAGGAGATGGTTCGTGGGCGGTTGTCGATATCTCCTTGGATAGTCTCCAACCAAATCCCCCTGCTAGATGCAGGCGGCGAGCTTCAGGATGTTTGATTCAAGAAATGCCAAATGGATATTCTAAGGTATATAATAAAAACATTAGGTTATATATCTATATCTAAGCTACAAATTCAAAAAAATTAAAAATTTAATGTAACAGGTGACTTGGGTGGAGCATGTGGAAGTTGATGACAGAGGAGTGCATAACTTATACAAACACATGGTTAGTACTGGTCATGCCTTTGGAGCTAAACGCTGGGTAGCGATTCTTGACCGCCAATGCGAGCGGTTAGCTAGCGTCATGGCTACAAACGTTTCCTCTGGAGAAGTTGGCGGTAAACATAAATGTTTTGTTTCATAACTACTTTCTCATAATCAGACTCAGAACTTGAGTCAAAATTCTAATATTTTCATGAAATTGCAGTGATAACAAACCAAGAAGGGAGGAGGAGTATGCTGAAATTGGCGGAGCGGATGGTTATAAGCTTTTGTGCAGGAGTGAGTGCTTCAACCGCTCACACATGGACTACGTTGTCCGGTACAGGAGCTGAAGATGTTAGAGTGATGACTAGAAAGAGTGTGGATGATCCAGGAAGGCCTCCGGGTATTGTTCTTAGTGCAGCCACTTCCTTTTGGATCCCTGTTCCTCCAAAGAGAGTATTCGATTTCCTCAGAGATGAGAATTCAAGAAATGAGGTAATTCTTCTTTAGTTACTACTCTCTTTAGTTCTGATCTGGACAGAGTGTTAATGTTTTCGTGAGTTGTGCAGTGGGATATTCTGTCTAATGGAGGAGTTGTGCAAGAGATGGCACATATTGCTAACGGGAGGGATACCGGAAACTGTGTTTCTCTTCTTCGGGTAAATGTGAGTTAAGCCGGGTTTCTAACACTAGTTATGATCAACTGATCGTAGCTAATAACTTGTTCTTTCTTTATGTCACAGAGTGCAAACTCTAGCCAGAGCAATATGCTGATTCTACAAGAGAGCTGCACTGATCCTACAGCTTCCTTTGTGATCTATGCTCCAGTGGATATTGTAGCAATGAATATAGTGCTTAATGGAGGTGATCCGGACTATGTGGCTCTGCTTCCGTCGGGTTTTGCTATTCTCCCTGATGGTAATGCCAATGGTGGAGGAGATGGAGGGTCGCTCTTGACCGTGGCTTTTCAGATTCTGGTTGACTCAGTTCCTACAGCGAAGCTATCTCTTGGCTCTGTTGCAACTGTTAACAATCTAATAGCTTGCACTGTTGAGAGAATCAAAGCTTCCATGTCTTGTGAGACAGCTTGAAAACAACCCATTAGGTACTTGCAGCAAACATTTTCTTCTAGCTGTTACGCCTTCATGTGATCATACTAATTTTATCTTCTTTCTGTCTGCAGAAAATAAAAACAGAGAGATTTCGGTTCGAAAGAAGTGGAGGAGTCAAGATCGAACCTCACAAGATATACCATTGAGTGTTAGTAGTGTGAAGTTTTGTTCTGCTTATTTGATGAAAACTAAGCAGTGAAAAACTTTTTACTTGAAAAGTTCGAATGCAAATGGTTTTACGAGGTTCGGGAATTGACTTCCCCTGCAACATACTGAATTAGAAAGAAAAAAATTATTAGGTTAGAAATGTTTTTGGATTCCTTTTTGTGTTACAGTTACTGTTTTTCTTTCCTTGTTGTGGTTAGATGGAACCACATCAAGAACTTGGGAGTTTGTCTTTTCTTTCGCAGTTTGTATAAATATCTTATACAAGTATTGGCTTTTCACTTTCTCTTGTGTTTGCTTTGTAAAGCTTATGTGAGTTCGTCTGTGGGAAAGCTCACGCTTACTTTTTTACCAGACATTGGAGAGTCTAAAAAAAAAGTCATTGCAAGTAGTTTGCCTAAAACTCACACTTACTTTTATACCTGACATTCTGAAAAAAGTCATTGCAACGTACTTTGCCTTCTATCAAGACTCAAAGAGGACCACAATCTACTAAGAGAAGACCTAGGTCCAATGATGTAGAAAAGCAAAGAATGAATTTGAATTAAACCAAAGAAACCTTTCATTGTTGTTGAGCCAACAAACAACAATTCCACAGAAATAGGAAACCAATAACTTTTACACATAAAAGAAGAAGAAAAAGGATAAGTAGGCCTTCCACTTCCAGAGTGAGTAGCAAGCTGCTTTTTATCTCAAGCCATCTTTCTTCTGGGCATGATAGTGGATCTCTTGCCAACAGATCCGGTGCTTTTGGTGGATCGACAGACTAACCCACGAAGAACAGCCAGAATCCCAAAACCCATGAAAGGCACATACATCATTAGCAATCTGTCAGATGCCTTTCCTGAACCTATCATCTCTCCTAGGATTGCAGCCTAGATATTCACAGGAAAATGAAAGAAAGTTTAGAAGTAGATACAAATAGACACATGGTCATAGACTCATATTCACGCAGGATATTGCCAATTCTAAAACGACTAGATTCTAACAAGAACACAGACCAGACATAAGAGTAGACTATATCCACCATGAAACACTAGTAAGCTATATATACATACATATCATCACATTGAAAATATTACGGCAAGTTCAGAATTTTCCAAAAAGAATACAGTTGCACCTAGAAAAAGTGACATATACCAATCACACTGAGAACTCTAAGAAATTTTGAGAACTATTAGCAAATTTCAGAAACGAGTTTACTACCAAGATCTAATCAAATATTTACATGGATCAGCATGAATGATATCTGCAGATCCTCAATATCAACGAACAAAGTTGTGAATTTTACATGATCCGCTTGCCCTCAGATCAGTACACTAACCTAAAACCAGAAATCAAGAAAAATTTTAGAGACCAAAATAGAAACCACTGTACCATGGAAGTAACGAGGGAAGCTCCATACAACAAGCAGGTGGTACCAAACCACGACTTTCCGGCGAGAATACCGTAAACGTTAGCAATCGAGAGCGGCCATAGGAACAGAAGCTCATGCCACACAAGTCCAACTATGAAATGCGGTTTCTCCATGAGCAAGTAGTCTCCAAAATCGGCAATGTACTTGCTTTTCAGATCGGTGAGAACCGCCGGGTAGATTCCTCCAGGTAGTGACGTTTGGCCGTCAATGAGCGGCGCAATGATCGCCATTGAAGCAAAGAATACGAAGAGAGCTACGTCGATTAGCTTCCCTAAAGCTCCCATCTTTGCTTCCTTCTCTGATGATTTACTCCGCTCTGCTTCAAACTAAGTCGTTGACCGGAAAAACCTAGAAGAAGAAGACCAAATAAACCGGGAGGAATACTCCGGTTCAATTAATTGGTAGAGTTATAGTTTTAATTTCAATTTTTCAACTATTGTGTGTGTTCGAGCAGCAAGAGAAAGATGAGCGAGACGAGACCCGTGCCGAGAAGAGAGAGTCCATGGGGTTTACCTGAAGGTCACCGTGAGCCCAAAGCTCACCGCTGCAACGATCGTGTCGAGGACGTTATCCAGGTTCGCACCTTTCTTTTTTCCTTGTTAAAAAATTCGATTTTTCTTCTTCTTCTGATGAACCTATGAATCTCTCTTAAGATTTGGCAAATCTCCTGTTATTTTGTTTTTGGGGTTGATGAATTAAATAGGCTCGTAACATCAGAGAATCAGTGAAAGAAATCAATTTAGGGTTTTGCAAGGGTTCAGTTACTCATCATCATAAAGTAGAATGAATGGTTAATGGGATTTGGTGATGAAGGATGATTACTCTAATTCACTGGCTTTTATGAATCCGTCTTCAATTGTGTTTGTTGAAGCTTGTTTTGGATTTGTTGTAATATACACAGCTTTACTCCAATTGTTGGGCCATGATTATTGCAATCTTTTTGTAAATGAACCTATTTATGTTATAGCATTAGTACCTTTTGCAGGCGATGTTCGAGGGAAACCCATTTAAGACCATTCCAGGACCCTTCAAACTCTTCTACAGATGCATGCGCTCTAAGCCAGGGTATGTGCAAGTTCAGACTCTACCATCAAGTTTAGTTGATGCTTAGCTGAAGACCTTTAAGTCTTTTCTGCTTTCTTGTTGTTCTTAATCTTCCTCGGTTTGTTATTCACACTAAATGTGGAGCCTGAGCCTATCATATTGTTTTTTCAGAGAGGAACCAACCGAGCCGTTCACATACCTGGACTTGGAACCTCCAAAGAGAGAAGTTAAACTTGAGTAAAGTGATATTCACTCCCCTTTTTTTATTTCTTCGAACTATTTAGCTGAGCATGTAAGCGTCATGATTATGATTTTGAAGTTTCCCTTCGACATGTATCACCAACATCTTATTTTGTCATAATGCCAATAAAATTGATACTGGGAATTCCATTTCAATTTTGTCTATTGATAGTTCTGTTCACTTGCAAGCTTCTCTCTGAAATGTTAACTCTGATGAGGAAAAGAAGATGATTTTTTATAAAGTATCAGAAAAAGGATTTACAATTTATCTTTGGTTTTTGTGGTTTCCTTGAACTTTTCCTATTACAAAATCTTCTGATATGTTTATTTACCCTCTAAGTATGTTAATAGTCATTTAATATAATTGTTGAACTCTAATCTATTAAGGATTTTCGCGTTGTGAATGTGAACTCCCAGCTGCACTTTCGGTAGCTTTGAGTTTCTTGTTACTCTTCTGCTTAAGCATCTCCTTAATCTCTGCTTCCTTCTTATCCACAACTTTGATCAATTCCTTGAAACTCGGTGCACGTAAACCTCTCCCTGATCGAGATGGTTCAGACACTTCGCCTGCCCTTTCCTCATCTGCATTTTCTGGTTGTAACCTCTGGTACTGCCAGAAAACCCTCCAGAAGAAGACAGTGAGTGCCATGAAGCAAGTGATGCCACATATAAGGAAGAGTCCCCAGAAACTCTTGAGCGATAGCTGAGAGTCCTCACTGTTTGAGATCTGCATCGAGCATTCATGCTTGTAGTTAAGCCATTTCCTGTGAATTTTCTCAAGCTCCCCTTCTTCAGACAGTTGCAGGATAGCTGTCGACATGTCTACAGCTAAAGGGGAGTCTCTCTGGAATGCCTGCAATATTGGATTGAGAATTCTTGTGTCAGAAAGTTGTAGATAAACAGCAAAGATAATATATAGACAAGTAAGTTGCTTCAAAGTGTAATTACATACAAAACCCCAGCCCGTGCGTGTGAATTCTTGTCCTACTGTACGGAACTTGCAGTTGCTGTTTGTCAAAAGAACTTCAATGTAAGGAAGCTCGTCTACAATGGCTGCCACGCCGCCATCTTTGGGACCAAGTTGAAGAGCAGAAAGGTATTGTTCTTCGTCTTTCAAAAATTTAATCCTTGAAGGAGCTATGTTAAGCTCGTTGACCAGATAGTTCCGAGCAAAGGTACCGTCTTGAACTCCAATTAATTCATTGCTCGCTACCAAGGTATCTATTCCTTCAATTCGAGATGTCAGCTGTCTAACAGTTAGGATTGAAGTGAGACTGGCCGTGTAGCTTGAGTTGATGATCAAAACCACAAACAACCATATGATCAGCACCAGCCTCCCCAATGAACTGACCGTGTTCTCCCCTTAAAGATCAAAAGGAAAAAGTGAAATAAAATTACTTCTGTCCAACAATCTGAAAGCTCTGGTGTGAAGTCTACCAGGTTGCTTGAGTTACAGCGTACTTACTATGAGAGAAGAACATCGTTGAGAAGCTAAACCTGTAACAGTGAAGAGAAGGAAAATAAGGTCTAAATGTAAACTCAACCTCGGTGTCGAGAACTGGGAAACTAACCAGAAGATGGTGATGAGTTGACGCCTAGGAGGGCCACGGAATTCTTGGTTGAAGCGGTGTTCTAGAATCCAAACCATGGCTCCGACAAAAAGAAAGAAGGCTCCAGTGACAGCCCACATCTCTATAGTGAATGGTTTCAGGAATGACCAAGGACTAGACTTGGCCTCCTTAACTGGAGCCACCACTACAAGTCCTGATTCTATAAACGGTTGTGTGAAATCTACATATCTTGTTCTGTTTGTAACAATCGTGATATCTCCTACAGCTACATCGAAATTCTGATGAGAAAAAACACAGGTTAGTATCATCTCAAAGTTGTGAACTTGATTGAGTAATGTAGCAAGCAACTCACATCTGCAACAACTTCATTGACTAGATTATCGTAAGAAGGATTTCTCTTTCCGTCTCCATATAGTATATAAGTACGCGGAACAGGATACGGAAGCAATTCAATCGCGGCTTCAAAGACATCAATGCAGTAGCCTCTAACGCCAGGTGGGTTCTTATCCTTAGAGACGTAATCTGTATAGCTCACACGGTTAGGAACCCCTATTCTGAGTGGTTTTCCATTGTTAGGAAACACCCAACCGCGAGGAGACTTAGTTACTTCGCCTGGCCATATGATTCCATACAGATGCTGGTTTGCTGTAGATGTGTTTGGAGGGTTCGAGTTTAATATCTCTGGAGGTACCACAGAGAGACCCGAATGATTTGACCAGTACCCAACTCTGCGTGGACCTGTACCTTCTAAGTTTAGAATTTCGTAAGCTGGGTTAACCCGGTTTCTATCTGAATCAAACTGGATTGGCCCCGTCACACCAGTATGATTCATCCCAAGTATGATCTTCATAAACTTTTCCCCTCCATTGAAAACACTCAGTGCTGATAACTGAACAGTACTACCGTTTGTTTTGTGTAGATTTGGATCCTTGGAGAAAGTTATTTTATTGTTTTCTCTGAAGAAAACATCGAGTGCACGAGCAACTAACCAAACAGAATCATAAGCATACATTGCATATGAGTTGAAGCCAACATTGGGTGTAAGATTCTTCCATCTCGCCATAAATTGTGTCTTCGCAGTACTGTCATTTGTGTAATGCCGAAAAGCAACTACTCCTTGCAAGAGATCCATCGTGTTCGAATCCACGGGATCCATGGAATCCATAGCTGTAGGAAGCCAGTCTGTTGCGATCCAAACATAACCGCTTCCCATCATTCCAAGAGATTTAGCCACACGGAAAACATGTAAACCAGAGTCAGGATTCACATGAACAACGAAAACCCGAGATGCCATCAGATTTACAGAAACCAACAAGTCTTTGATGAAGGTAGCATCTGCACCAGGTGTAATTGCAGCCTTGTAAGAGATCCTGGAGCGTTTCTTGGCTAATACATCGCCTAGAACAGATACCCCGTTCCTACCACACTCATCATCAACAAATATCGCAATGACTTGTCTCCATCCGGAATAGGATACAAAATCTGCGATTGCATGCATTTGGAAGTAGTCGTTCTGCGTGGTGCGGAGGAAATATGGATATTGCAGAGAAGAGAGTGTCGGATCAGTTGCTCCAAAAGACAAGAGAGGCACATGAAGCTCATTAGCTACATAGGCAATCATGTGAGCAATCCCTGAAGATTGTGGACCAATGGCTGCAACTACTTTGGTTTCCATCAGCTGCAAAGCTACACCATAAGATTAATCATAATCATCATTCATTCTTTGGAGCATTTCCACAAACCATTAATGAGCTAAAAGTCAGATCCCTTTGGCTACTGCATCAAGAGAGAAGAAGATGTACCTCCCATGGTGCCAATAAATCCACTGCAATTTGAGTCTTGAAAGACAATATTAAGCTTGACACCCTTAAGTACAGTTTGATCAGCATTGACGTCATCCATAGCCGCTTTAAACGCGGGTTTAGCCGCTTTTCCGATAAAAGAATCATAAGTAAACAGAGCTCCAACATTTACAGAGCTAGGCCTCTGTGATAATGTCGGCAAAGAAGAAGACGAGTCTCTTGAGTAATTTCTTGTACAAGCACATTCCTTTGGAACGACCCATAAGACAGAAACACATAACAAGACAACTCTGATTGCTTTCGCCATTGAAACTCCTCTTACCATCATAAAAAAAAAATCCTATATTTATTCGAATATCCAGCAAAAGCACTGGTTTTTATCTTCCTCGGCTCACAGAACCATTTGAATTAATTGAAGTAACACCTGCGAAATAAACAATGCCCAACATGAATCAGAATCCAGATTAACACATAAAAAAAAGGAGAAAGAAAAAAAAAATGTCTGATGAACGAAGGCAGGCAAGCGAACCAAGATATGAGGAGTTAGATTCTGTAGAGAGATTGGTGTACACACATTTGTGTCTGTATACTTATAAAATAAATGTATTTGTATAATGAGGCCTTTGGATTTTAGAAACTGGTGCCTACATGTGCAGAAGAAACTAGGCACTGAAGATAAAGAAGCGTAAGGGAGAGCCGTCTTAAAGATGGTTTGCAAACAAAAAAGGAAAAAGCGTAATTAATAATTGTTCAATGAACAGAGAATCAAATGATGATATGTCAATTTGTTAACAAATAATTAAATCATAAACAGACACTAATTAGTATCGGTGTTATATTCCAACTTGAATAAAATGAAAAAGAGACAGTGCATGACTTAATTCTGTGGAACATGGCAGTGAGTGAGTGGTGGATAAAAAAGAAGAAAAAAAGTGGAAAAGTACATTCATACAATACAAGTATCGGATTAAATTTTAATGATTTTATTAAAACGCAAATTACACTTGTAATTAGTAGATCTACTATTAGATTGCATTGAGAGGATATTGCTTTGAGATTTTGGGACCAAAAACTAAAAGAGAGTATAACTTCTTCATAAGGATATGTAAGAACAAAAAGAAAAACCAAGAAATGGATGCAAATGAAAAAAAAGAAGGAGAAGCAACCTTTGGAATACAAACTTTAATCAGAGATCTGTATTCTACAGAGGTAAACGAGTGATTGAGAGGCACTAAGCATAAAGAAGAAAGACAAAGAAAAGAAGCAGAAGAAGACGCAGCAGTAGCAGAAGAAGAACTATTTCTGAGCTCAAGCAAAGAATAAATTATCATAATAATATTCTCTCTCTTTTTTTTTCTTTCTTATTATTTTTTCTTGGTCTTTGATCTTTCTGCGAGATATGTAAACTTTTGTTTTGGAGTGCCATTTCTGGAGTAGTCAGTGTAGACGTGGGGTATCCATGCTTTTCTTGTGTCCTCAATACTATTGGAGAATCCACTTTTACTCTGGCTATGGTATTGGTAACTCTCATCATTTATGAAGGTACTTAATGCATTTTTACGGTAAGATAGTGATGCGGTTTGGTTAAAACAGATTGTAGTGAAATGGTAATTAGCTACATGAAGATGAACGAAGGTGTAAAAGTGTGAATGTGACGACCCAATTGCTCGAAGGCCGCCTTCGTCAAATCAATTTCACAATTTTAAGAGAAGAGATATTTTTCAGACATAAATAGTAGAGTAATAGAGTAGTACTATTGACTAGGGACACAGAATCTCTCATAATACGATATAAAAGGTTGCATGAAACACATGGACTCGACTGTTCTTTTATCTTTAGAGTGTTCATAAAGGAATGTTATAAAACAAAAACAAAAAACTTATAATAAAGAGCTTGTTATTATTTAGTTCTTTATTGGAATTTTCATATTTGTTATTTGTTCACACTTAATAAATAATATGCCACTGAACTTAAACCCACAAATATCTTGTGGATATATATCGTGTGATCGAACTTTTTTTATAAATACAAAAATTATTGATGAAAAGAAATGTGAACCAGGAAAATATACACTTCATTTATCTTTCTTCTTTGAAAATTCCTCAGTTTGTTATGTGGATTTTTCTAAGGGTGAGGGTCCATTTCATCTTTAATTTTGTCTGTTCGAGTAAAGCCATGACGACTATAACGTATTGACATCTTAATAACATATACTTAATTTGGGATAAACACAATTTTTTTTAATATGGATGTTAACGCATCTATTACAATTTGTTGACCTCGTTTATTTTAATCTAAACCCGACGACCACGTCGATAACATAAGTGTGATTCCCATATTTCAGCTTTTATTGTTTAATGGGTTATAAAAATTATCAATGAACATGTTTGATAATTTGGGCCAGATGACGATGTTTATAGTAATGGGCCCTAAAATAGTGAGATAAATGGGCCGGGAAGACAACAGAAATAATTTTGAAAGGGGGTGATTACAGAAGGTGACGCTGGATAAGTCTCTTCTGGATAAAACACTCTTCAACTCTCCATCCTCCTCCTGGAGCAGAGCTCAGAGCTCCATCATCAAATTCCTACCAATGGCTTCCTCACTCGTTTCTTCTTTTCAACCCAGGTATACTCTTCAAATACCCTTTGTGCCGAATCTTATTTTTGTCATTCGTCTAGGGTTCGTTTTTCTTTACTTGGCATTTTCTACTCAAAATTCTCGTTGAATTGGGGGTTTCATGAGCCTTTCAAGAGTCTTTTTGACTAGTTAACTCTTTATAAATCGACTGAAATGTCAAATTAGTTGGTGATTTTTGAAACTCTGGATTTGTGTTATGTGGAACTCAGTATGTCAAAGCAGGATTCTAGAAGTTTTTAGCCATGGAAACTGGAATTGCTATAAGAATGTAGTAGCTCTTCTTTAATCTAACGTTATCCTGGTTCCAATTCAGTTCCTCTGAATTGGTTTAGTGGTAGAGTTTACATTTCTAGACATTTTTTTGGTCTAAAGACAGAGAACTTCCCCTTTGTTTTAGGTCAGCATTTTTGGGAGATAGGAATGTGTTCAAGGTCTCAAGCACCCCATTTGCTCAAGTGGGTTTCTCCAGTAAGACCATTGAGTGCAAGGAATCAAGGATAGGAAAACAACCAATCGCTGTACCTTCCAATGTAACCATTGCTTTAGAAGGTCAAGACTTGAAAGTGAAAGGTCCACTGGGAGAGTTGGCTTTAACTTACCCACGAGAAGTTGAGCTTACCAAGGAAGATTCAGGTTTCTTAAGGGTCAAAAAGACCGTCGAAACTAGAAGAGCCAACCAAATGCACGGCCTTTTCAGGTTACTAAGTTCTCTCACTTTTTCGTTGTTTCCAATTGGGAAAATTGCAGGTGAAGTGTCTCACTTTCTTGAGGCTTAAAGATTGTTTGTTTAAATCCTTTTTGAACTTTCAGGACGCTAACAGATAACATGGTTGTGGGAGTATCAAAGGGATTTGAGAAGAAACTTATACTTGTGGGTGTTGGTTACCGTGCAACAGTCGAAGGGAAAGAGTTAGTACTGAATCTCGGGTTCTCGCACCCGGTTAAGATGCAGATACCGGATAGTCTGAAAGTGAAAGTGGAAGAGAACACAAGAATCACAGTGAGTGGTTACGACAAGAGTGAAATCGGGCAGTTTGCTGCGACGGTTAGGAAGTGGAGGCCACCGGAGCCATACAAGGGTAAAGGAGTCAAGTATTCGGATGAGATTGTTCGGAGGAAGGAAGGAAAAGCTGGAAAGAAGAAGTGATCTTCATTTGCATTGCTATCTCTCTACTTTCTTGTCTACTTCCAATGTTAATGTGTATTTTGCTCATATCTGTTTAGAAAATGGAGATGTTTGTTTTGGGATTCTTCACAAGTTTTAAAGGAACCCATTAATTGTTTTTAATGCTCTGAGAAATGTCATCTAAATGTTTCTACCCCAAATCCAGATGATTTTTTATTGGAAATTTAAAAGAGAATAAGAACTTAGGCGTTTTATCAAACTTGTAATTCCTAAACTTCTACAGCATCTAATTTAAAAGAGAATAAAATCCTGACCAATCTGAACCGAACCGAATAAAAGATCATGGGTTAGTTGTAACCAAAATCGTACCAGTAGACGACAATGTCGGTTTAAATTTGCTTTTATAACCGATATTCATAAAAAAAAACTCGTATAGAGATTTTGGGTATCAGAGTGTTCACCGGAAAGGCCGAAAAAAACTCGTCTCAGGCTCACTCGTTCATTGTCTCAGCTGCGAAGATGAGAGGCGAAGCTGTGAAAAGAGCGAGAAAACAGGTTGACGAAGAGCTAACATTGTCGGAGCCTAAAACCAAGTACGATCGTCAACTCAGGTATACTCTTTTCCTCCTCCAACTCTGTCTCTCTAATTATTCTACACCGCTCTTTGTACGATTCTTCTTCGGATGAGAATTGATTGATGAAGTAATCGGGGAATTGGGAAAAATCTTAGGATATGGGGGGAGCTAGGTCAATCGGCTTTGGAAGAAGCGAGTATCTGTTTGCTCAATTGTGGCCCTACTGGCTCCGAGGCCTTGAAGAATCTCGTCCTTGGTGGAGTTGGCAGCATCACCGTCGTTGATGGATCCAAGGTTCAAATCGGTGACCTCGGAAACAATTTCATGGGTATTTTGACTATTTTTTTTGAATTTTTCTTTGTATTTCTTCTCGAGTTTTTGGGGACTTACTTGGGTTTGTTTTTACATGTGAAGTCGATGCCAAGAGTGTTGGCCAGTCTAAAGCTAAATCTGTTTGTACGTTTCTCCAAGAGCTTAACGATGCTGTTAAAGCCAAGTTTATCGAGGAGAATCCAGACACCCTGATTACAACTAACCCATCTTTCTTCTCCCAGTTCACTCTCGTTATAGCCACTCAGGTAGTATTCTGTTTCTGTTTGTTAAGTTGTCATCTTCTCTACTGATTGTGTGCTCCACCTTTCCCAAGTTGGGATTCCTGCTTGCATTCAATCACCAGGGAAAGCCTTCCTGGTCCTTCACAGGATATTGCCATATTAGTCTTTCTTTGTTATCTAACTCCATTTTTCCATCCCCTTTTCCGATGTTGGTTTCTTGTAGCTGGTGGAAGATTCAATGGTGAAACTTGATAGGATCTGTCGAGAAGCTAACATCAAGTTGGTTTTGGTTCGCTCATACGGCCTTGTTGGATTTGTTCGCATCTCTGTAAAGGTAATACCTTTCTTGACCCAATATGTGTCAGATTACTATACAGTAATATGCTGTGGTGCTAAGTTCTATTCTTTTCTTGTTTATCAGGAGCACACCATAGTTGACTCAAAACCTGATCATTTTCTGGATGACCTTCGCTTGAATAATCCATGGCCTGAACTCAGGAGGTTTCACTGTTCTTGTTTTCTCTCTCATTATGTTATCTGGCATCCTTTAACATTGTGGTTGTGGTTGGACGATTAAGTGATATCTGATATTCTTAACTATTCATTGAACGGCAGTTTTGTGGAAACCATTGATCTAAATGTATTAGATCCCGCTGCACATAAGCACATACCTTATGTCGTCATTCTTGTGAAGATGGCTGATCAGTGGGCTCAATCCCATAGTGGTAATCTTCCCTCCACCAGAGAAGAAAAAAAAGAGTTTAAGGTGTAATTTTTTTTTCTTTTTTTTTGTAACTTGCAAATTCATTAGCTAGCTTGCTTTCTTATGCTTCCTTGTTATATCTTTGAAATCTAAGGATTTGGTTAAGTCCAAGATGGTAACTATGGATGAAGATAACTACAGAGAAGCTATTGAAGCCGCTTTCAAAGTTTTTGCTCCTCGTGGAATCAGTAAGTAGATATCTTGTTTGGCGTGGGTAGAACTTGACTTAATATTTGGTACTTCCATGCCACATATGTTTACTGTTTTAATGTTTGAGTATATTAGAGGTCAAATCACAGTATCCCTCATGTTGAACCTAATTTGTTTTCTCTTCCAGGTTCAGAGATTCAAAAAATTAGTAATGATAGTTGTGCCGAAGTGAGTTCAAATTCCTCGGATTTTTGGGTGATGGTGGCAGCTCTGAAGGTTTGAAACTTGAAACTTGCTTTACTAAAACACATATTGCAAATGGTTGGGAAAATTGTTCAGAGTTTTACTTCAATAAATCTTATGTTTCCATTTACCACAACTCACTTTGATTTGACATCATAAAGTACTCATACATAATCTCCATCTGCAGGAGTTTGTTTCAAACGAAGGTGATGGAGAGGCACCCCTTGAAGGCTCTATACCAGATATGACGTCTTCAACTGAGTGAGTGCACTTGTCTTAATGGCACTGAAATCCATCCTCTATCTATTTTTCCCATTGGTTACACAGCTGTGGGCTTGTTCTTTGCAGACACTATATCAATTTGCAGAAAGTTTATATATCCAAAGCCGAGGCTGATTTTCTTTTCATGGAGGAACGAGTAAAAAACATTTTAAAGAAGATCGGTCGAGATCCTAGCAGCATTTCAAAATCAACAATCAAGAGCTTCTGCAAGAATGCTAGGAAACTTAAAGTGAGAATGCTAACCTTTGAAACAAATTTTGTTTGTATTCAAATGTCAATGTTCTGCCTGTTGCGTATTTGCTTGATCTTTAGGAGGAGTATCAGAACATTTTTTTGAGTAAAACATAAATCGAATTCTGGGCTTTGTAGGTATGCAGATATCGAATGGTAGAGGACGAGTTCAGCAATCCTTCTGTAACCGATATTCAAAAGTATTTAGCGGACGAAGACTACAGGTGCGAATGTTTTCACAGAATTTTCCCTTTTGATACTAGTACAAAATCATCAATGATGTGAAAGATGACATTTCAACAAAACAGTTGCTCTTTTGTCTGTCTCGTGATACATGCAGTAAAATGTTGTGATTGAATATTGCACGAGCATTTTGCAAAACTGCAAAAAAAGTTACAGTATAAGTTATTATTTAATCAACCTGAGCTAACCAAATCTTTTAGCTCATCTTAAGCTTACATAGCAGCAAAATAGATTCTGGCTTTAGTTCAAAATTTTTTTTATGCTTGCATGTTTAGCTTTTATGCTAATACTGTTACCGTCACAGTGGTGCAATGGGATTTTATATTCTTCTCAGAGCTGTTGACAAATTTGCTGCCAACTATAACAAGTTCCCTGGACAGTTTGATGGGTAAGAAACTCATTATGGCATGAAGCTCAATCTTATTTCTTTGTTTGGCTATTAACACGCAATATTGTTTGTTAGAGGAATGGATGAAGACATTTTTCGGTTAAAAAGTATTGCATCGAGTCTTCTGACCGACTTGGGCTGTAATGGCTCTGTACTCCCCGATGACCTCATCAACGAAATGTGTCGATTCGGTGCCTCTGAGCTTCATGTTGTATCTGCCTTTACTGGAGGAATCGCGTCTCAAGAAGTCATCAAGGTACGATTTATATATCCTTCTTATTGTTTCAATTTGAAGAGTCTTATTGGGAATTCACCAGCTTTTAGACATGCATACCGAGATGATTTAATTTGTAGTTGCCTCTCTCTCTCTCTCTCTCTTTATTTGTTGCAGCTTGTTACAAAGCAGTTTGTTCCAATGGTGGGGACGTACATCTTCAATGGCATTGATCACAAGTCTCAGTTATTGACATTGTAGAAGATCTTTCTTTACACGTTAGCTCGAAACAGAGAGAGGGTGTGTGCTTTTATCATCTCTATTTATTCTTATCCGAGTCGAAAAAGGACATTTCTGCGATAATCATGAAACAAACTGCTAAAGCCAACACCATTTGACTCCGAATTTTCCATGTTTCTTCGCTTCGTCGTTAGGATTTACAAAAAGAAATAGAAAAAGAAATTGAAGTTTCATTTGCGTAATATTTGACCAGTTTGGGTGAAGCTAGTTTCACAGAATGGGCCAGAGTAAGCCCATTTTACACATTTTTTCTAGTCAGCAAAGGTTTAGATGAGATGATTTCTACAATCATACGAACGACAAGAAAAATGGGATTAATCAAAATGGAATATTAAAATTGTCTAGAAAGTTAATGGGCATAAAAGAATCAATTACGTCAGTTTGCTGATTCAAGAGAAAAGATAAGAGCCACAAATACAATTTGTGGGAAATAAAGAGAATAAAGAAATGGGTGTGGGGTTATGACAAATACATGAATTACTAGAGGCCATTGAAGCTCGGTGGGATTCACAACCATGGCATTTCGTTTTCGATCAAACTATACATGACACCCTTTTCTCTTAAGTGCATAAAAATTTGCACTTGTTTTTTTTTTTTTTTTTCTGAACGAACAATTTGCATTTGAATTTTTTTTTATTTTACGAAATTTAAATTTGCATTTTTTTTAAAGATGGTATAATAATAGTCTTTTAAGTCTTGACATAAAGTCTTGTGAACTTCTAATGTCGACCGCAGCCGACATCCGCGTCTGTCGTTTCCATCTACATGGATGGAGTTTGAATTTTGTGAATAGCATCTGCCAAAAGAAAAAAGTTGTAATGATGCGAAACGAATCTTTTAATTAAGATTTAAAACAATTATCACCCTTAACAGAGTCTAAGATATAACTTTGTTAATGCATTATGCTAGTCGCAATTTTGTTATGTATCTACCATCAAATACACTGTAAACTTACACTATCACTTTGAATCTATGTTATGACATGGCAACGACACTAATACGGAGTTTGAAATATGTTTTATATAGAAGAAACAAATGAAAGTCGTACTTATATGATAACATATTTCAAAAAGTAAAGAAAAAAAAAAAACAGGTTAAGATCTTTTTTTTTTTTTTGGTATCTCCTTATAAGACCAGCTCTGGACAAAAAGGAAAAAAACGATATAAAAGAGAAGAGTGGTTTCTGAAAGAGGAGTTAGCTACAAGAAACAGATGGATGGATGGAAAATGGGATGTCAGCTTTTAAAGGGTTTTTGCTTGAAGAAGAGAGTAAGCAAACCTTAGACATTGAATTAGGTAAAGTGGCAGTCTCCTCTTTCAAGCAAAGCACCTAACTTCTACCACCGTCTCCTCGATCTCCTCTTTCACCAATTCATTAAATTTGATATTACCATATTATAAACCGACCTTCTAAACCGATCGGTTAGCTAAAAAGCTAGTAACATAGCACTTGTGGACTTTAGGTGTACACGACCAATACCTTTCATTACGAATTTATGGAGAGCGTCAATGTCGATCGGTTACGAACGGTGAATACTTAAATGACACTCTCTTTACGCTGTATTATTATTGGTGGCCATACATACATACATACATATATCATATATGTGTCTTATAATAAATTAACAGTTCATTTCGTATTATTAAAGTATTGCATGCATGTGTCTACTTCACTTTTATAATGGTTATGGTATGGAACTTTTTAGTCTTTTGACTTCCCTCTTTATATGTATCGGTTGCCTAATGGTAGATTCGTGCTTTTCTTTTTTTTGCTAAAATTGAGCTGTAATTTGTTACAGAGGCTTATATACCACCGATTAATTTATAAGTTCTATAACTATAGGACATTGCTTTTTTTGAGAGTAAGTATATATAGGTGTTACATATCTATATATATCCATACATTCTATAATATATGTGTAAATGTAGACAAACATGTTTGAAATAAAACCATGTGGTTTGGTTTACAGCTAATATGACACACCATACACGTTATACTTGACCATATCACCATCCTTTACAAACTAAGAAACCCTGCATATAGTATAAGATAGCAGTTTTTCATATTCACCGGATTTAAAAATATATATGATGAATGATAGATCTGAATTTAACATTAAATAAAAAAGTGGATAACATTGATCGAATCAATTTCGTTGCAGTATCGTCTGTGTTTGTTATTCAAACAAAATACTGATAGCACCGACTTCTTGAATGCTCACATGCCATGAGCACAGCCATCGATGGAATATTTACGTTATCATAACAAAAACTTTGATGATTTTCTTTTCTTATTCCCATAGTGTTCAGAAATCTGCTTGAGAAAAGAATTAGACATCGAAAATTTAAAATAGTAAAAAATACTACAGTACTGTTTTATAAATGATCATTTATCTATATAATCTGTGTGTGTGTGTGTTTCATGCATGTTTCAGTTACGACATATATATGTGTTCCCAAGGACTGAAAATATGTCTTCAAACCAGTGTTTTGAACTGAATTTTATAATAATTCTTACGACATTGGGAACAGAAAATTATGGTGGCATCAACTGATAAGCTGAGGTTTAGTACTAAATAATGGACAATGGAAATAAAATATAAAAATCAAGTAATTTAACAATTGACCAATACTGTCGACCACAATGAAAAAAAAAAACGAACAATCCCTATCCACAAAAATGAAGATGCACAGATGCAAAAAAAACTCCAAAACTAAGCCGAGGGACATCACATAACATTAACATATACATATACAAATCGGTCAAACGGAACTATATCTCAAAATTCATGAACAAACCGATGGCCAAGTGATGTGGCATCATTTTGGACACAGTTACACTAAACTCAGCATGCTCCCAACAAGTACATCAGTGTGGTTTTCTGAAACATTTATTCATGATGACACGTGGAAAAGCTCGTGACGTGAGACCCACTTGTCACCTTTGGGATACTGATTTTGCAGTGTAAAGCCTTGTGATGCAAATCGGAAAACATCACATGATGACTAGTACAGTCGCAGAATCTCTCTCTCTAATGAACTGAAAAGACCCGACGACTACAATAGTAGTAATTAACTGTCTTTAATTTTATTGTCCTCTGCCTAAAGCCAACCTATACATATACAATGAATTTTTGGTGTTGCATGTAAATCTAGATGATCGAGTGTGTAGCATTCATTTATAAAGGCTTTGCGCTGATATATGAAAGAAAAAGAAATGGTAACGGTGTTGGTTCGTTAAGATCAGTAGATCACGTGAAAATAAATGTATACGATTGTTTCATTTCATGTCAACCAATATTGAATAGTCAATTACTACTATTTTTACCAACCAATTTATAACATCTCCCCACCACCCTATTCTGATCATGTGGCGAGGGTCAGCGTCGTCAAGTCAACCAATGAAAGTGCATGCCTGATCTCATTCCAAGTAATATCTCTAATCCCTATCGCTCTACGCATAGACAAATACCGTTTGTGTCAAACAGACCTAGAGTAACGTAACGTAACGTATATAACTAATTAACCCACTTACATGTTACATATTACAAGCTCGAAAATAAATATTTTTTTTTAAATCTAATTTGTTGTTTTATACCAACAAGTATATATATCTAATCTATTCAGAGACCAAAAGACCAAAAATCGTGGTACCATGCTTCTTTGTAATGATGTAATGTGTTAATATTCATTAAGAAAAAAGAAAAAAAAAATCCAAGTAATTATTATTATTATTATTTTGTTATGCGTTTATTTTTGTTTATTTTCATTATGCGTTTATTTTTGTTTGTTTGTTAATAACAATTGCGTTTTGTTTGTATCATAGTGATTGGTAAATAAAGGTATTTTGATTTTACAAGCATTATTATGAATCGGTGCAGAACTGTTAAAAAATAAAGAGATGGTGTGGTAACTTGGTGGTGTATATAGGACCATAAAAAAAAAAACATACTACAATAATGATTCAAAACTTCGAATTAGGAATCATTAAATGGTGAAGAAAACAAAAATTATATTTATGTACAATTGTACAGGGATAGTTTGGTAAATTTAACAAAAATATAGGTGTGGTTTATTAAATAAGAAGTAGAGACGGTTAAGAAGTCGTTCTGATTTCTATCTCTCTTCTCTTTTACGTCGTCGTCTTCTTCCTCTCTCTCTCCAAAATTTTCCTGCGAAAATCAAAAGGAGCTTCTTCATTAATAGAGATAGGAGAAGAGAGAGCTTCTTCAATTTTTCCCTCGAACTGTGAAATCTCAGGTTCTGGTTCTTGGGTCTATTTCTGTTTCTGGGTTCCGAGCTGATTTGATAGTGTTTGGTTCTTCCGATGATGGAGTTCATTGGCTTGTTACGATAGCTATCTAGAGTTCTGGATATCTTTAGTGTTCTTCTCTATTAATAAGAAAATGTCGACGAAGATGAAAGGAGAGCATTCTTCTAGAAGCTTCGTATCAAGGAAATATACAATATTACTCTGCTTAGGAAGCTTCTGCGTCGGATTGTTCTTCACCAATCGGTAAATTTAGAGAATAATCTCAACTCTAGAGACTTAAATTTGATGGCTTTGCCTAACTAATTCTCAAGTTTTGTTCTTGTTTGTTGGTGAAGGATGTGGAGTATTCCGGAATCTAAAGGCATGTCTCGTCCATCTGTAACCGAAGCTGAAAGATTGAAGCTCGTCTCTGAAGGATGCAATCCAAAAGCTGTGAGTCAAACAAACATTGATTGTGATGTGTTATGAAATTTGTCAAATTTGTGTGTTCATGATCATCTGATTGGGTTTCTCCATTAGCTTTACCAGAAAGAAGTTACAAGAGATCCTCAGGCTTTGTTTGGACAAGTAGCCAATACACATCATGCATTACAGTAAGTTTTTATCTTGTGTGTTTGTGTGATTTCGGAAAAAGAAAAACTTTCTGGAACTTTTTATGTTTATCAACTTTTATTTTTGTGTTATTTGCAGGACATTGGATAAGACCATTTCAAGCTTAGAGATGGAGTTAGCTGCAGCAAGGTCTGCGCAGGAATCTTTACAGAACGGTGCTCCTGTGTCAGATGATATGGGGAAGAAGCAAACGCAGGGAAAGAGACGGTATTTGATGGTTGTAGGGATTAATACAGCTTTTAGTAGCCGGAAGAGAAGGGATTCTATTCGAGCAACCTGGATGCCTCAAGGTCAGTCTCTTATGGATTCTTAATAACATGTTTCATAATCCTTGATCGTATATGTTCCTTGACGGTTTTGTCTATTTTTAGGTGAAAAAAGAAAGAGACTTGAAGAAGAGAAGGGGATTATTATCCGGTTTGTCATTGGTCACAGGTGAGAATTCAATTTCCTTTAGTGTAAATTTAGTTTCTGATGTGAGTTTCATTCTGGTTTACTGTATATTGATGATGTTTGTCATTGATTTAATAGTGCCACGGCCGGAGGAATTCTAGATCGAGCCATAGAAGCTGAGGACAGGAAGCATGGAGATTTCTTGAGACTGGTATACTTCTGATGTTGGTTCACGTTAAACAAGTACAAGGCCTAAGTTTTCAGCTCGTAACTTCATTTTCATTGCTCCCTTGTTTCTGATAGGACCATGTGGAAGGGTACCTAGAGTTGTCAGGCAAGACGAAAACTTACTTTTCTACAGCGTTTTCAATGTGGGATGCAGATTTCTATGTCAAAGTAGATGATGATGTTCATGTAAATATAGGTAAGTTCTAACTTCTTTTCCCCTTTATTATATGAGGAAAACGATTTGAATTGGTTTTATGTCATTTTACATACAGTATGATGGTAATACTAATGGATTCAATGTTTCACTAAAATGTCTGCAGCAACTCTTGGGGAAACTCTTGTTAGACACCGGAAAAAACCACGGGTCTATATCGGTTGCATGAAATCTGGCCCTGTCCTCTCTCAAAAGTAAAGTATCTCTCAGTTTCCTCCTTCAAACCATTTTTAATTTTGGTTCTTCCTTTTATTAAGTTATGTTGGTTTTGTGGAGCAGAGGTGTGAGATACCATGAGCCAGAGTACTGGAAGTTTGGTGAGAATGGGAACAAATACTTCCGTCATGCTACTGGACAGTTATACGCTATTTCAAGAGACTTGGCTTCTTATATATCAATCAATCAGTAAGATAAATATGATATTACATTCTGTAATCATATGTAACCTTGTGAGTCTCTTGATTCTTATATATGTTAAATGTTTCAGGCATGTTCTTCACAAGTATGCGAACGAAGATGTCTCATTAGGAGCTTGGTTTATCGGGATTGATGTTAAACACATCGATGATAGAAGATTATGCTGTGGCACTCCTCCTGGTATGTCTTAGGCTATTTTGGTCTCCTGCAAGTTTACTAGGCTTGGTTTGAAACTTTTTAGATGCTTCAAAAGTGTAGAGATTTCGAGAGCTTAGATAAAATATCAACATCATTGGTGTTTCGCTGTTCTGCACCTAACACTAAAGGCTTAGAGGGAAGATACCTTATCCAAAGAGATGACTCGTCACTATCAAAATCTCTACTGATACAAAGTCTTACCAAGAACCTAAATGTTTATGATTTGAAAAGAACATCAAATCTTACTTCTTGCTTCAAACCTGAAAATATATTCAGAAGATGTTAACAGATATAGTTTTGATATTGCAGATTGTGAATGGAAAACGCAGGCTGGAAACATCTGTGTAGCATCATTCGACTGGAGCTGCAGCGGAATCTGCAGATCAGCAGATCGCATCAAAGAGGTTCATCGACGTTGCGGTGAAGGTGAAAAGGCTCTTTGGAGTGCCACATTTTGATATATAGACAGATACGTGATAAACAACTCAAAGACATATAACGGAATTGTTAAGCCCCCAAAACAGTTCAAAGATCAGTCAAAAGAACAGAGATACAATTCCAAGAGTTGCCCACTTTTGTATTCATAGGTACATAGGAGAGGTAGGATTAGAGAGAGAAGTGTGAAGACCTCTGGCAAGAATAGCGATTGTGGCGTTTCCGTTTTAGTATAAGGAAACTGAGCATTGCAGTAAAAAAAACCTGCTGTTTTGTTCGTTTTGGGTGGTTAGAAAACGAAACTGTTTGTGAATTTGTTTACGTCAATACAAAACTATGCCCTGCCGATTCTTTTGGCTATTAAACTTATTGCATACACTGATACACAGAAATCTAATTTATTAAGGAACTTTAAACTTCTTAAGCGCTTAACAATGTCTAAACTTACTTAGGTAAACAAAAACTTGGTAAAGTTGGAAAATTGTGCATAAAAATAGATAACTTTTATTTTGTTCAGAGTTAAAAAAAACACACACTTTGGCTCTGTTGCTACTCTAATTCGGGTTTCTTCGTACTCGAAAACCTAGTGAGAGAATTAAGAAATTTTAGATGCTGAAGAAGGTGCTTGCGACCGGTTTACTGAGGCATGGTGTTGCAATTGCAGAATCTAAGGGTCTAGTAGTCTCTTTTGTCTCTAATTGCCTTAATAGAGGTATGGTTCTCTTTAGATTCCCCGACTCCTTTCCATGTGCGTCTATTATTCTTCTGTGGCCACAAATTTTTTGGTTTTTGTTGTTGTTGGTGTCTGAATCCGAGTGTGTGAAGTGGTCGTACTTCCATATCGAAGTTTCCAGGATCAAGAACTTAGTGAACTCACTTGTGGTCTGGGTATAGAAAAATTTGTTTAGTCGTGATTGAGCTTAACTGATTAAAATTAAGCAACTTGAAGAAGAATGTGAACAAAAGAGAGAGAAATTGATAAGATTTTTGTAGAGTATTGACGTGCTAGGAGTGTCCTGTTTCTCTATTGGGTTGGGATTGTTGTGTAGTTGAAATGATGGTTTTACCTGCACCATCTTCGTTTCCAGGTTTTGCATTGTTTTATAATTAAGAATCTTTCTTCTGTTTTTCCATCAATCGAGATTAAGTCACATTTGTTTCACATCAAACTTGCATTCAAATAGTAATATTTTCGTTTTCTGAAAGTTTTAGAGTAGTTCTTTGTGTCAGTTATTTGTTCATTCACATTGATGTGTATCAATGGGACCTTGTTGATTGGTATCAATAGTATGCTTGACACAAATGGAAGAATATCTTGAGAGTCATTGTCATAGAAAGTGCCTTAGAAATCTTCTAATTAATCAATTATTCACCAGCTACGATTCTCTTGTCCATTTAGTAATTGCTTAAATAAAAATTTCCAGTTTACAAAAGATATATGACCAATTTTATTTGGGGATTAAAAGGTAGATTTGTAATATACCATGTAACAGGTGTAATGATTCTATACACATATCTACATGAAGAAGGGATACAATTATCTGTCTATAAATAAAAAGACAAGAAAGGCTGGGAACATAACTAAGTGAATTACAGCTATGGCGGAAACAAAGAGTTGGATCCCAATATGGTTTCCTTTGATGGTGTTGGGATGTTTTGGTCTGAATTGGTTGGTTAAGATGGTGAATGTGTGGCTCCATGAGTTCAGCCTTGGGGTGAACAGGCAGTATCTGCCCCCAGGAGATTTGGGTTGGCCTTTCATTGGCAACATGTTATCTTTTCTCAGAGCTTTCAAGACTTCTGACCCTGACTCCTTCACCCGCACTTTAACTAAAAGGTAATCTATCTTTATATTTAAAAACCTGGAGTAAATATGTTACAAATTCTGTGGATATGTTACAGATTATTGTATCCATGTTATCTCTTGGTGATTTTAAGACTTAGTATTTTTTTCAATAGTCACTTGTATTCTCAATCTCCTAGAATTCTTGTAGTGGATCCATGTTATACATTGACTTAATTTTAATAGTTAATTGTTCAATCACTCTCTACTAGTCCTTATCTAACTACCAGTGGTAATCCATGTTATACCTTGATTTTGATTATGGGACTCAATTTTGTTGTCAATGATGTGCAGATATGGACCTAAAGGTATCTATAAAGCACATGTGTTTGGGAACCCAAGTATAATAGTAACAACACCAGATACTTGTCGGCGTGTGCTGACAGATGATGATGCGTTTAAGCCAGGTTGGCCAACATCTACAATGGAACTAATTGGAAAGAAGTCATTCATTGGTATATCCTTTGAGGAACACAAGCGTCTCAGGCGTTTGACTGCTGCTCCGGTCAATGGCCATGAAGCCCTTTCTAATTACATACCGTACATTGAAGAAAACGTTATTACCGCTCTGGAAAAGTGGACCAAAATGGGAGAGTTCGAGTTCTTGACTCATCTGCGTAAGCTTACATTTAGGATCATCATGTACATATTTCTCAGCTCTGAGAGTGAGAACGTAATGGATGCATTGGAACGAGAATATACCGCTCTTAACTATGGAGTTCGAGCAATGGCAATCAATATTCCTGGATTTGCTTATCATAGAGCCCTCAAGGTCTAAATTAAACAAAATATTTCAGTTATTCATTATTCTTTGTCTTTCTCGATTTTGAGGATGATCATCTTTTATTTACAGGCGAGGAAAATACTTGTATCTGCCTTTCAGTCAATAGTGACTGAGCGCAGAAATCAAAGGAAACAGAACATTTTATCGAATAAGATAGATATGTTGGACAATCTTCTTAATGTTAAAGATGAAGATGGAAGAACTTTAGATGACGAAGAGATTATTGATGTTCTTCTGATGTATCTTAATGCCGGTCATGAATCCTCTGGCCACACTATTATGTGGGCTACCATTTTTCTACAAGAACACCCTGAGTTTCTACAAAGGGCAAAGGTAAATGGAGAGAAAAATCTATTTCATTCTCTTATTGTCATCTTATACTTTTCTCCGGACTGAGTTATATAATTTATGTTTTGCATATGATGGTACTATAGGCCGAACAAGAAATGATCCTGAAAAATAGGCCTGAAGGACAAAAAGGTCTAACTTTAAAAGAAACCCGGCAAATGGAGTTTTTATCACAGGTTAGATTTTAGTCACCTATGAGTTCAGTACATCAGAGATTTTGTTGGCGATTTGGTTTTAGGAGATAGCAACTGGTGTTTCTTCACTAGGTTGTTGATGAGACACTTCGAGTCATAACATTCTCACTCACTGCTTTTCGGGAGGCAAAGACTGATGTCGAAATGAATGGTATAGTATGTATATATGCAAATACATGACTCGTATGAAATACAAAACACCTTTTAAATGCACATAAACACTTAGCATGATTCAATTAATCTTGCAGGCTATTTAATCCCAAAAGGCTGGAAGGTTTTGACATGGTTTAGGGATGTCCACATAGACCCTGAAGTCTATCCGGATCCAAAAAAATTTGATCCTTCTAGATGGGATGTAAGTTTCGTGTTATCATCTTATATTGTTCGAGCCATAGAAATTTAAATTCATTTTGAATGTTTGGAAACAAATTTCAGAAGGGGTTCGTACCAAAAGCTGGTGCTTTCCTTCCTTTTGGTGCTGGAAGCCATCTATGCCCCGGGAATGATCTTGCTAAGCTCGAGATTTCAATTTTTCTGCATCACTTCCTCCTCAAATATCGGTAAGGCTTACAAAATTTGAGTCTTGAAATCAAATCTTCTTGTGTTATATTGATATATCTATGGAGATCAATATTGGCAGGGTGAAACGGAGCAACCCAGAGTGTCCTGTGATGTATTTGCCTCACACCAGACCAACTGATAATTGCTTGGCAACTATTAATGTCAGTAAGACGTGAATCTCAGCTTCTCCTTAAGTTTAAATCAGATACTGATTTAAAGTTTATTTCATCAATAATTGAGTCTTGAGACTCTTGTCTTTATTTTTGGTTGGAAACTTCATCAGACTTTTTACTCTGTTCCATGAAACAGAGCTTTGAGTTTCTTCAGTTGGTGTTATATATCTTTGTTTTTTTTAAAACAAAAGTTACTTGTTTTAAAAGAATATGCCATGTCATTCACACAACTTTACAGTCTTAAACGTTCTTCGTAGCAAATCATACACGTATCTAGATTTGGATCTAAATAATGGCCACAACGGTAGTTCAGAAATGTAATATACAGTATTAAGGTTCTTGTGTGAGATTAGATAGATAGCTGTCAGGAAAATAATAGATAGAAATGTTTTTTATGGAGAGATAAGCCCACACAGGCACAGACCACATCCTGACAGTACTGTCAACACTTATCTGCTTTCATACAAAGACACAGAGACAAAAAAACAGCTTGGAATCCTTTGTATGGACCGTTTGATAAAAAAATATTAAGACTTTGGTTTTTATGTTTTTTCCTTTTTTCTTCCTTAAAGAAACAGTGAGATAGAAGCTTTACAGATCAGAGGATCCAATGTGGAGATTCTCGCAACGAAGCCCCGAAATTGTTCAATCTCAGCTCTCTGTTTCATTCATTTGATTATTTTTTCTGGGTCTCTCTGTATATTGGGTCGTTGTTTCCAGCTTATCTTCAATCCTCTGTTCTGCGCCCTAAAAAGGCTGAAACTTTCCTTAAAAAAATGGCGACAAGAGGAAGCAGATCGGAGAAAGTTAAAAGAATATTCCAGCAATTCGACGGTAATCGCGATGGTGGGCTTAACCGAGAAGAGATGGCGGCTCTTGTCGTAGCCGTTAACCCTAGGGTTAAATTCAGTGACGAACAGATCAACGCGATTCTCGATGAAGTTTTCCGAACCTACGCTGAATTCATCGATCCAAACAAAGGCTTGACCTACGACGGTCTCCTCCGTACCTACGACGACGGTGCTGGAGATGTCGACAGAGACTTCGATGCATTAGGGCTTGAGCTAAACGCTGCTGATGAGACGACTAAAGGCTCTGAGGCGGCTTCGTCTTCTTCGATTACAGATGAGAGAGCTGTTGACGCGCAGAAGAAACAGAGAACAGCTGCTTGGGCTGTTTCGCCGAACCACGGAATCGTTTTTGACGAGACGTGGAAGTTGGTTGACGATTTGGAGATCCTGGTGAAGAGATTGAAGTCGAAACAAGAGAAAGATGGGAAACTGAAAGCTGATAACAACAATAACAATGTTGATGCGTTTTCTGATGCTGGATGGTCTAGAGAGTTAGGTCCGTCGTCTGAGATCTCTGAGAAGAGAATCTATTGGGAAGAATCGAGTCACGACTATGGTGTATTTGTCAAGGAACTAGGTGTTTTGAGAAGTAAAGCAGATGGAGCTAGATC